CTTTTCCCACACATATAACAAACGAAATAATGTACCACCAGAGGCTCTTGAGAGTGTCGATCTGAAATCGGTTATTCACGCATTACCAGCTTCACCTATCTGGACACTTTCATTTATTTTATAGAGCACTTCGTTTTTTTACCTGTCTTACTCAAAGTGTTTGCTTGATGCTAAGTTTTGCCGCTTTTGCAAATGAAACGCACTTGTGTGTCGTGATGTACGATAGCCAACGTTATTTGCATTGGAGTTGACATCTGGTGGCAGTACACATTTTGCATTTCTTTGTGAACATCCTGCACCTACTGTACACTGTCTATGAATGATTTTTTAGATGCAAAGCATCTTATGGTGGAGTTGAATGCGGTGTGCCGCGCGACCATCCTTACTGCACATGCGCCAACTCTTGCCATTTCCTAACTCAAGCGCAAGGAGGTAAGGTGGAGTAGGTGGCAGAGCACTGCCTCAGCTTTGTTTCTCCTCTCCCGTTTTTTTCTCCGCCACAGCTCTGTGCTCGTATATAATGCTGCACGCGTTCGCTGCATTGCGTTCCCCTAGCAGCGCTTGGTGGTCACTTTGCGGCAGCACACACGCGGCTATACAGACAAGAGGGAGAGGGAGAAGGGGGTAACACAAGCGGTACACAACATATACACAACTCCACACACGAATGAAACACACACAGAAACATACAGATGGAAACACAAGTGAACAAACAAACACCAGTGCTGCTTCGCATTCCCACATGATTCCCTTTAGTAGGAGATGGTGTACTTTTTGTGTCTGGTTCCGTAAGGCCATACTTCTGTTCAGATTGTGGGCTGCATTTCATGTTGCTTTATGCTACATTGCTATATTTAGCTTTGTGAATCATTCCGTTTTTGTCCTCCTATACACACGCTTAATACCTTCCCACACTATAATGCACTCGACATGTCCTTTTACACTTTTGTATTTCTGCGAATTGCATGTTGAATGTGCCGCCTACCCTTATCCAACGTCTGCTGCATTCAACCTGGTAGTACTTTCTTAAATAATTAATTAAATAATAACTGTTAGGATCACAAAACCATGGTATGTTTATGAGAGACACCGTAGTGAAGGGCTCCAGAAAGTTCGATTGCTAGGGGTTCTTAACCTGCACTCTAATCTAAGTACACTGGCCCCAAGCATTTTCACTGCCATTGAAGATGCTGGCCACTTCCATCATTATCATCCACAATCAACTTCAAAGCGTATGCAATCATCAGCAACAGCAAGTATCACACAACCTTTGGGCCAGCGATCGAGCACCATTACCACTGGACCACACTACCGAATTCACCAAGGTGTTGCATCAATGAACAAAGCTGGGCCATTCGGTACACAGTTCAAGATGAAAAATCGAGCTATAGAACACAACAGGCAAAGAAAAAAAGGGCTTATGCATCTTTGTCTTATGACGTAATGTTTTTGTGCCCAATGCGTTCATAGGTAGTTTTTATTTTTACACAGATGCTGCTTCAATAGGCCCAGGCAAGGCCAATGAAAAATGCACAACAGAAACACATAAGCGTTTTCTGCAAGCACAGAACGCTTGTGTGGATAGTAAAAGGCAGAAAGCTACCCTGGCCCATTTTGTTTACCCACTTGAGCAGGCTTGTGAGAATTATCGAATGCTTCAAATGTTCGAAGGAATATTGATAGTATTCAAATCTGCTTTGATTATGAATTTAAGGTATTAAAAATTTCAAAGTATTGAAATACTTGTATTAACGAACGAATAGATGTGTATTAGCCGACATATAACCTCTTCAAATGTGGTTTCGTTGCACTAGAGGGGTGCTACGCTGTGAAAGCGCCTGTCTGAATGTATCCATCATCGTCAGCCCGACTATGCCCAAAGCAAGGCAAAGAACAAGACCAGAGCAAAGACCTCTGCCACGATCCGCCAATCAATATCAATCCGGCCTTGTGCTTTCTGCTGCCACGTTACAACTGCGAACTTTTAGGGGCGAAGCTCCTTAAAGCGGCACTTGTCGTCCCTCGTAGTCGTAGTCGTAGTGTGTAGCCAGTGTTACATTTTGACCTGCAAGGTGGTGCTGGTGGGAGATTTCTCCTGTGCTTTGTTGTCGAACAATTAAAACTTCGCGGCGTGCGCGTTAACTAAAAGCCGAATGCTCTTGTCTCTCATTCCCATTAGTAGCCATTGGAATGTACATTGAGCACTATCTGACAAGAAAGGGTTGCTACGTTATACTCGCTGGGCGTAACCTCCTTGGTTTTAGAAAGGTTTAGCGAGAATTGGGCTGCAGTGCCATGAATACAGTGAACTAGTATATCCCATGAACTCGAGGTGGTTAAAGGGTGGAAGTAGACCCGAAGCTCAAGCCGTAAGGAAGTGTGCGTGTGCCACCTCTCGTTTAGTCCTTGGAATGCCCGCTGGATGGCGGTGCTTCTATATGGGGAATATATGACGAAAAGATGCGAGATGGTGGTACTTGGAGTGTTGAATAGATGGAGGAACGGACACACAGACAGATGCATGGATGGACGCATGAACGGACGCAGGGGCAAATGCATGGACCAACGCAGGGACGGACGCACGGACGGGCGGATGGACCCACGAACGGTCACACAGACGGACGCATGGACGGATGAATGCTTCGCCCCACTCTGCATCATTCACTCCGTGCATATGCTGCCATTTTTTTATTCTCATTGGCCGAACGTAACCTTCTGTCTCCCCTTTCTGCGCTCGCCTTCTCTGGCAATCCAGTCAATTTTAATGACCAGCGGTTATCCTGCCTACGTGCCGTGCGCCCGGCCCATGTCCATTTCTTTTTCTTGATTTCAACTATGATATACTTGACCTTAGTTTTCGACGAGGCGGGTTGATCGCAGAAACTTCAAAAGGGCCTTCGTCGCTTTTTCGATATTTTCGGCATTCCTAAATTAATCTTTCGGAATGCGGCTGGTCGTTGAGGTGTGCAAACATTGCTGACAGGGACTGTCTCTGACATCAGTCTTTAACCATTCTGACATTCTAGTGTGTGTGTGTGTTTTCGCTTCCATCCCGTTCTCTCTCTCTCATTCTATTTTTCTTACTTTCTGTCTTTCATTCTCCTTTCCCAGTGTAGGGTAGCAAACCAGATACTTGCTTTCCGGTTAACCTCCCTGCCTTTCTTCATACCATATGCTCTGTCTTTCTCTTTAACTCCGGTTTGTTCCCCGACTCAATCTGCTCTCTTTTTGTTACGCCTATCATTTTGCTTTCCATCGCTAGCTGTGTTTACCTCAATTTAAGCTGAACCCTCTTCTTAATCCTCCAAATTTCTGCTCCGTAGGCAAGTACTGGCAAGATGTAGCTGTTATATACCTTCCTCTTGAGGGTTAGTGGCAGATAACCATTCGTGATTTGAGAATGCTCGCAGAATGTGATCCACGCCATCTTTATTCTTCTAGTTAATTCACTCTCGTGGTTCGGCTCCGCGGTTACCTGTCCTAAGTAGACATATTACTTTACAACTTTCAGCGTTTCTCCACCTACGGCAAACTGCTGTTTTCTGCCGAGACTGTTGGACATAACTTCAATTTTGTGCATGTCAATTTTACGACCTACTTTTCTGCTTTCTGGGTCCAGTTCAGTAATCATGAGCTGTAATTTGCCCCTGAGTTACTCTACAAGGAAATGTCATCAGTGAATCGCAGGTTACTAAGATACTATCCGTTAACTATTATCCCTAATTCTTCCCAATCTAGGACTCTGAAAACCTCCTGTAAACAAGCGGTGAATAGCATTGGAGAGCTCGTGTCTCCCTGCCTTACACGATTGTTTATTGGGACTTTGTCGCTTTCTTTATGGAAAACTATGCTGGCTGTGTATCTGCTGTAAATTTATTCCAGTATATTTATGTAGACTTCGTCGATGCTCAGATTCCATGGTGTCTGCATCACTGCCGATGTCTCGACTGAGTCAAACGCCTTCTCATAATCCATATGAAAGCTATGTTAATAGATTGGGGTTGCTTGTATTCCGCACATTCCTTTATCAGGTGATTGATAGTATGAATATGGTCTATTGTGGAGTAGCCTGTACTGAATCCTGCTTGGTCCTTTGGTTCATTTAACTCTAATGTTAAGGTATTTCTATTAGCTATTATATTTGTAAATAGTTAGTAGAAAATTAATGCACAGCAAGCTGACTCGCTTGTAATTTTTCAAGTCCTTGACATCTCCTTTCTAATGCACTAAGATGATATTGGCAATGTTTAAAGATTCTGGCACTCTTTCCCTCAAGAGACAATTTGTTCATAAGATGGCCAGTTTTTCTAATACAATTTGTCCACCATCTTTCAGCAGGCCCATTGTTACCTTATACTCACCGGCAGCTGTGCCTCTTTGCATTCCTTCTAGGGCTTTCAGTACTTCCCCTGTCGTTACTGGTAGGATGTCGGATTCCACTGGGCTGTTATATATTGCTTGTTACATTATCATGCTGGTTGTTTCGGCTTTTGTACAGCTCTCTGTAGAACTCTATGGCACTTTGGTTCATTGAACTCTAATGTTAACCTATTTATATTAGCTATTTCACTTCTAAATAATTTGTAGAGAATTAATAGAGAGTAAGCTGATCGACTTGTAGTTTTTCAAGTCCTTGATGTCTCGTTTTTTATGCATTAGATGATGTTGGCGCTCTTCCAAGATCCTGGCACCCTTCCCTTTTCTGGCCTTGGAACCTTTGGGCTTCTGCCACTTTTAACAGCCTGCTCGATTCAATTCATGTCATACCTTCTGATGCCAGCGACCTTACACCTATTGACTAACTTATATTTTGCAGTCCTATGTTGTTTTTGTATCACACTAGCTCTTACTTCTTATGCTTTTCAGCTAATTACAGAATACTAACTCGATGGGTATTCAATACTTCTCAGTGATACTGTAAGCAACTGTGTTCCGACAGACCTCCATCCAAATAAGCCCCTACATTCCAACAGCAGCAGTGACACCACAGTGCAAAGGTGCTATGTTTAGTCTCAACCACATGCGACTTTTATTTTAATGCAAACAAAGACCGCAATACACAGAAGTATTTCAATGAAACACCACTTCAGGTGGCAGCAACTACCAGAAGTCAAAACCGCTGCATTGTGCTTAAAATCAGGATAGCCCAGGCAACTTTCACAGGTCTTCTGCCCGATTCACTTGACATTATTCGACAGGGATGAAATTTCCAATTGCAAATGGTTTCATTCCGTCCACTTTGCAGGAGAAAAAAATTAAAAAGGAGCAATAAGATGTTGATCAGCCACAGTTCCTATCTAGACGACTCATATTATCTAACTGGAGCATGGACAAAGAAAACTTATAGTAGCAGATAGATTACCACACCGGTGTTGCACTTGATGACAAATAGTGCTTCCCAGAAGACTCGGCAAAAGACAGCCACGAAATAATCCTAGCAAGATGAGCAAGTGTACGTGATTTCGCAAGAAAATCAGGAGAGATCATTATTTTTTCACAGCAAGTATCTTCACATGCTTAAGTCATGCTGCATTCATATCAGCAACATTGAAAACTATAGGTAATGGACACTGAGATGACAAGACACGGGGAGAGAAAGCCACAAGAAGAGTGCCCTCTGTGGGCAAGTCCATGAACGGTGCTGGTCTCATGGTGCTGTCCTTTACCTATGGAGCCATACCAACTAAAGCAAGGTGTGATTGGGCTACTTGAACTATGCAGGAGGCAAAGAAACAAGAGACTGATAAGGCAGCACCTGTCTTGTGTCTCTCCTGCGCTACCCACACTTCCTTTCCATCTTTCTGGGTGAGGCCCGTTCAGTACTTTTTAACTTCCCAACGGGTCAGCACAATCTTGAGAAGCCTGTTGGGCGGCAACTGTCGAAGCGTCTGAAACATGGCGTCCAGGTTACCGTGAACACACTTGGACGCAAACGCGGCCTGCAGCACCTGACCGAGTCTGTTCAGGGCCAATTCGGCCCCGTGAGGCGAGGCCGTGGTGAGGCTTCGCTTCAGCGTCTCGGCCACGTGCACTACATAGTGGCTCGGCAAGAAGGGAAACACTATGGGGGCGCGCGGAGTCACCTGACCGGCGCGGATGAGCATCTCTAGCAACGCATAGTGGAGGTACGAGTAGAGTTCGGCGTCTTCGGGACGGGAGTCCACTTTGCCCAACGGCGCCAAGACGCACCACGCCACGAGACCGGGGATGAAGGTCTGCAAACACTGGGTGTACAGGTGCGGTGGGATGGCTTCCATGGGGGTGAAGCAGAGGAGCGGCTGGGCGCGCACCCAGGAGGCCAGGAGGTCTACCACTTCGCGGGACGGGTTTGTGGGTGTCATATGCGTCAGGGAGGTGGCGAGGCTAGCGCAGAACAGGGGCGATATGTTGGCCAGCTCCTTAAGCATCTCGGCCGAACTTGGGATCAAGCTCAGGTAGTCACCCACCACGTGACGCACTATGTGCAGCGACGGCTCCGAGGTGCAGCCGCACACGTGCATCCAGAATCCGACGCAGTTCAACACGTTGTGGTTCTTGAGGGCGATGGAGAGCGAGACGAGGCGCGAGAGAAGGAGAACGCGCGACTCCATCACGCTCGCGTCAGCCGAAGGGAACAGTATGAAGAACACCTTCTGGCACATGTCCGACTTGGCGTTCTGGAAGGAGGTCGCGATTATCTCGATTATCTGTAGCTCACGGATGGCGGACAACTTGCGCGGGCGCGCCCGCCGCTGAGACGACGCGTGAGGTGCCATTCGCCGCTGGTCGTAGTCCTGGAAGACGAACTCCTCCGCTATCTCCTTGGCTACGTGGGCGTACGTCGGACTGCGGCCCTCGTTGGCCAGCAGCTTTTGAATCTGGCGTAGCGCCTCGTAGACGACGGTCGGAAACTCGATCTTGCGTAACGAAACTCGAACGTCCGTCATCTTGTGCGTTACGTTGGCGTCGATAAAGAACAAGCTGGCGATAAGAATGAAGCCCCTGACCCATGCGCTGTACTTTCTTCTCGCACTTACGATCGACTGGCCGCTCTCATACGCTAACCGATTTCAAAACTAGCCACTATCAACACGAACAACACAGCCACACAGAAGTATAGTGAATTCTAGTACACTATAACACAAGCATGGTAACACAAGTAACAACTCGACACCCTGACGCCGCCATGTTGTGTTGATATCATTGTTTTGCATGCTGCAGATGTTTATGCCAAGATGAGAGACTAAAGTATGAGCGTTCACACAAATGCCGATGAATGAATTCGACATAAAGAGATCTATAGTCCTGAAATATTCTATTGTTAATGAAGTGACAGGAGAAACTTACTCTACCATGTGTTGTTTAAACAAGTTGAGAGCAGTTCTTCATAACTTTTTTTATAAATTTGTAGGGGAACAACAGTATAGCCTTTGAGATAAAAAATGTGTAATACTTGACGACGCTCTAAAAAAGAAGCGGTAACCTGGCATAAGGTGACATCTTTGTTTACCTTCAGAGTTTTGCTAGACAGTGTCGCGGAATTATGAAGTATTAGCTTTTGAACTTTAGTTGTGATGCATGTTCGGGTAACAAGTACAAATCTCAAAGGCTGTGTTTTTCTGGCGTTTTCGTTGCGAGTCATAGCCAAGGTTTTTAATAGTGTGAAGTGCGCAGCCAGTACAAAGCCAACACAAGCCTTGATTACTGCGTTTTTCTTGAGGCCCCTGCATTGCCTGCGCAACGCCTTTGGCCTGCATTTATATGTTTGAACTGTAGCTCGTTTGCCCAGTTTGCCTCATTGCAAGCTCTTTGACTCGACTGCGTGTTGCAGTTGTCAGTTTTTAGAACTTATCCCAAATGTGAACCTAGCCTTCATGTAAGTACTAGCTCTGTGTTGCTTCTTTTTGTGACGATGCTGGTATCGGCTCTTAGCAGGCTGTTAGCAGCTCGGAAAGTTGAGCGCTCGACTCTGGCATGGCCTGCGTATGAATGCGACTTTCTCAGCTGTGATGTCATTCCCGGAAGCAGCAAACCATGACCTTGACCATGAATTTCCGTCGTAAAGTATCTTTGTCCTGTGTGGGTGTTTTGTTAACCGTTTAGAGTTGCTTAAAAACGACTGTAAATTCCGGACTGGAAGCACGCCCTGTAATGTCGTTTACTTCTCTGAAACAACAATGGTAGACTTGTGAGCGCTCCACAGCGTCCCGATTCCCGCGGTAGTCGTCTTTAGGTAGTTCAGCCAAGCGCTTTAAAAGCGTCTAGGCTACCTGGCTCCCTCATGTTTGCGGCGCCAACTGCTGTGTCCTTGCGTGTGTTGTGTGTTCGCGCTGCAGACATGATCGTCGTATTAGGTTTTATTATTTTTTTTCGTAATTATTCAGACGACATCCGTGGTACGGCGCCGATTCGCCGCACATTTGCAAGGGAAGTTCAACTTTAGTGTTGCGGAGACGGCGTGGAAACACAGACGGGCGAGAGAACTCCTGGGCAACGCGAACGGCGTTTGTGTTGTCTTTATAACTTTTCGCTCGCCCTGTCCTTCAGTGTGAATACGTTCAAACAGCTCTCTGTAATTATTGGTGCAACCTCGCTTGGCGTAGCCTTTTGTTGACCTCTTCGCGACAGCTAGCTTGAAGCGTGTCGAATTATGTTTCAGGCACGTGAAATTAACGCCCTGCGTAAGTGCGTTCTAAAGCCTGAAAAGCGTGACGCGCTTGTAGTTTCGCATTTAGTAACGCTGTCTGAAACCGCGCATTTAGCAGCGTTGGTAGGGTTTAAAAGTGGAACGAAAATAACGACATACTATTGAGTGGCCTACTTAAATGTGTTAATGTTTGTGAGCATGGAGTCGCATTTGTCTTCACATAATTGTGGTGGGTATTGTCGGCCGGTGTCCTGAGGTTGCCGCGCAATTATAGAAAAGAGTAACGTAAAACGGTTGCGGGCTAAGGGTTCCAAGCAAGGAAGTGTGGGGCTAGGTGGTCTTCTTTATTTTTCTCTTTTTTTGATAGTGATGGTTGTCCTCATAAGGTGCTTATACTCACTCAGGGGTATTGTACAAAAAAGGAATCATTTATAGACATCGGACTCTGCCCAGGCGGCACTGAGAAAATGCCGACACAAGAGCTTTTCCCGCTGCCTTGGCCATAACGGGGTAGTGCAAAGATAGCCGTCTGCCAGCAAATGTTCTTAGACCACTACACAACCATCCCTTCTTTCTTTGGTTTTGACGTCTGGTTTTCGGAAAATCAAGGACCTAGGAAGCTTCTGTCAATTCAGCCTCGCTTCAGAAGAGTGGGAAGCCCATCAAAGCGAACGGTGGGTACAAGGGAAAAAGATCTTTAAACAAGGGCCTCTTCTTTTTTTGATATTTATCAATGATATAGGCGAAGGAGTGTCAAGCCGTCTCAGATTGTATGCTGATGACTGTTGTCTTTACTGTGAAATTAATACTTTGAATGACAGTGTACAACTACAAAGTGACCTCGACAAGATACTACTATGGTGCAATACGTGGAATATAACGCTAAATTTTTCTAAATGTAACATTGTCCAGTTTTCTACAAAACGTCATACTTTACATACGAAATACTCTCTTGATGGCGAAAGCCTCACGATTGTACCCAGCTACAAATATTTAGGGGTTTTATACAAAAATGACTTTTCCTGGAATGACCATATTGATTACGTAGCAGTGAAGGCTAGTCGAGTCCTCAACTTCCTAAGGCGTAACTTCAAGCAAGCTCCTCCTAAGTTAAAATAAATTCTTTACTTTTCAAATGTTCGCACAATATTAGAATATGGACGTTCCGCTTGGGACCCCGGTACAAAGACACGTATTGACGAATTAGAGCGCATCCGAAAGCGTGCAGCACGATTTGTATCATCAAACTATGATTTCAGAAAAAGCTCTTCCGATATACGGGACAATCTTGGATGGCCGCCTTTGCAGAATAGGCGGAATAGGCTTACCCAACAGGTTTGCAACGGCCCAGCCCAGTCGCCGTTTTGCTTCGTGTGACAGCTGCAGAAATCGGTAAAAGTCTTTTATATCCGTGACGATTCATGACACAGTTGTTCGTCGACCCAGGCTTTTCTTCGTAGCACATGGTGTTGTTGCGTCTGCTCCTGTTTTTGTAATCCTCCTGGGGAATAAACCAGCTAGCACCTCATGGCAGTTTGGTTGCGCGTCCGACCAGTGCAGAGAAATTCGTGGCTGGTTTGCTGAGAGTGCAATGCGCAAACACACCTAATATTTAGCTCAATCGTTGTTTCGCTCTCGGTAGTCGCACCTGGTTGCTCAGCAAAAATGCTCAAGCAGGTGGCGCTATGCAACTGCAAAACATCATAATCTGACGTCCACGCATATAAGTGGTCATTCATGAATTGAAGGTCTAGTCAGTTATGGAATAGTCAAAGCTTTCTTCAGCGTCTGTTTTGCTTTACTCTCGTCTCTCCGTTTCTTCTTTTTTTTTTTCTCTTTCCATCTTGCCTTAGCTGCTTTTGCCTTCCGTTTTCCTTTTTCTTTCAGTGTCCTTCTCTTTCTCTTTTCAAGTCCTACACTGCAAGTCATGCGGCCTTTTATATATATATATATATATATATATATATATATATATATATATATATATATATATATATATATATATATATAGGTATCATCTCGTCTTATCTACTAATGTACTCTTCGTTGTGAAAGGCGCGTCAACATTCTTTTTGTACTTGGGACCTCGGTAGGTTAAGAGATCAGAGAGTCGTCTTTAGTGAATACTCTCATTGACCTAGCTTCATTTTAAAGTGCGATGGAGGGCCTGTATAGTGAAATGGTCTAAGCACGCCATGTGCCAAACAGAGTCAGTCAGGTGGCCGTGTTAACTAATTCAAGCAAATGAACATGCCGGACAATGAAGAACCTAATCTCTCTATATCCCACAGTCAATTGAGGTGTGCAAGTAAACTTTTTTTGTGTGTGTGCGTGTGTGTATATGCAGTAACTATATACAAAATTAGAAAAAAAATCACAGCATATCCACAGAGGGAATGATGATGAGTGGGGCGAAGCGTCCGTCAGCCCATGCGTGCTTCCGTTCATGCGTCTGCGCATCCGCCGTCTGCTAGTCTGTCTGTCCGTCCGTTCATCCATCTAGTGGACACTCCAAGTACCGCCATCTCCATCTCGCATTCCTTGTGGCACATACCCGCTCTAGAGTGGGTATGTGCCACCAGTGGCTATGTACATACATACATACATACATACAGAGGAGCGACACACCCACGCCCTAAGGAGCTTCGCCCCTGAAACCTATAAATTTAGCTTGGGTCGGGCATGTGCTGGTTTGGCTTGGGGACGGCTAGTGCCCATTCTGTACCCCCCTCCTTGGTGACGCCCATGAAGCCAAATAAGTTAAAAACTATTACAACTTTAGTTTGAACTTGTAAAAAGAAAAAAAAAAAGAAGTAAGCATACAACTCTTTAGGCAACTCTAGAAGAGCGCCATTGTTGTGTGTTCACTTGTGTCTGTTTATTCACAAAAGTGGACACGTGTAGATGTTTTTATGAAACACTGAAGTAATCCTAGCATTTCTAGACGATTTGGAAGTCAGTGCATCGGCTGGCCTGAGCCTGCTTTACTGATGTTTTGTTTACAAATGTGGATGCCGTGGTACAAAAGGGTTAAATATCTTGCAAATGTTTTTTTTTTTTTAACAGGGTTGGCTCTTCTCATACGTGGAGTTAAGATGGCGTCCTCTTGCTCCTCCCCACCTTGGCACCGAGTCGAGGGCTCGCCGAATGGCAACTCTGCAGGTAGCCCCTCAAAACTGGCACCCACCGATGCCACGCCGGATCGGCCGTGCAGCCGCAACACCAACTCTCCCGAAGAGAGCTGTGCCATTTGCCTGGGACAGCCGGAGAACAAGTCATTCACCGACAGTTGTCTGCATCAGTTCTGCTTCGCCTGCCTTGCCGAGTGGGCCAAGGTCAAAGCGGAATGTCCCTTATGCAAGCAGCGATTCAAGAGCATCATTCACAGCGTCCGCTCGCTTGAGGACTACGACCAGTTCTTTGTCAGCGACCTTCCGCGCCCTCCGGCATCGCACACACAGGTTTACGAACAAAGGTTTCGTTTCCCGACCACCATGACCTTCGAGAGGCGCCAGGAGCTGGCGGCGACGGCTCAGAGGCACGCTCGCCACTTCGCCGCAAATTTGACCAGTCGAAACCGATATCTGCCCCGGGGTGCCACTACGAGTGACGAGAGACTTCACCTGTACCTTCTGGACCTTTGGGCAATTCCCTGCTTGTCAAATTACCGGGAAGCATCACCCGAGTTCTACCGCGAAAACCCGGCCTGCACCCACCGTCTGGTCCCCTGGATCAACCGGGAGTTGAATGCTCTTCTGCGGCAGAACCGAAGCAGGGTCGTGGCGGCCATAGACCACGTGATGGGGCTGATCCTCAGTTTCGACATCAGGCATCCTCAGTTTGCCCGCAACATGGAACCTTTTCTTGGTGAGCACACGGAGCACTTCGTCCACGAGTTCTATTTGTTCGCGACTTCGGTGTACGACATGGCCGATTACGACACGCACACAGTCTACATTTCGGGGCGCTACTCGGCATGTTTGCAGGCAAGCCCAGTCGAGCAGTTCAGGCAGACCCTGCGAGAATCCGAACGGACGGCACAAATTGTCGAACCGCCCAACTCACCTCAGCCGGGCCCCAGCGGCTTTTCTGTATACAGGGAGGAGGTGGTCGCAACATCCATGGACAGCGACGACGGCTCCGACAGTTCCGACTGTATCGTGGTAAAAGTGGTCAAGCCGATCAGGAGCGAACTCCTGAGGTGATTGAGCTGCTCTCTTCGGACGAGGAAGAGCTCGCGTCACGTGACAACTGTCAAGCAGGTCCGTCCAACCAAGAAGCAGGGCCGAGCAGTTCAAGTGGCCCGTCAGAAGAACGTAAGCCTCACAAGCGCTGTGCCGGTACTGGCTCGTCCTCGAGCGACACGTTCGATGAGTACCCGCAGAAACGGTGTTCCCCGCATCGTTTGAGGAGTGATTCGTCGTCAAGCGATGCGCGTGACAGGCGCCCACGTAAGCGGCGTTTGCGCACACGAAAGCGCTTCAAGACAGAACGTGACAGTGAACAGCACTCGGAAAAACATGTTTCTTCTTCACGGTCTCGGTGGAGACAGCAGAGAGAGGAGCGGCGTGGTGCAGACAGGAGTCGCCAGAGCAGCACATCGTCGGATCGATTTGGCCATCCACCGGCACCACGGTCGAGAAAGCTGGTCAGCGTTCTTGGCGCTGTGAGCATTTCCGGCAAGTCGCACGAGGTGTCCGATCAGGAGCGCCATCATTCCCGCCACCGTCGCCACGAACGCAGGTCCAAGAAGAAGTCGACGCGAAAGCAGAAGCAAAAGCGGCGCAGTTCCTCTCCTGAATTTTAGCCATTTCAAGTTGTGCACATGTGTAAATTAAATCACTCGTTTTTTATATATCTGCCATCCGTATTTGTTTTACGAGCTGCACATTGTCGTGCAAATGTGCATGTAGTTTATTGACACGCTCTTTGCGGAAAACAATTGAGGTCATGGCACTGTGTGTTGGCTTGTGTTCAACACCTACTGTCGCCTTATATGCCGGATAGAAAATTTAGCCTCATTTTAAGTGAGTGTACCTACACCCACAGAATGCGACTTTGACACCATGCTGTCACTTGAGAGAGGAAAGTGTACTGTGGAAATGATGGCAAGGGGGATGGGTACTTGAGTAGGACAACAGATCTCATATTTCAGGCATTGTTTTTTAACACTGGTTTGCAGCTATAAGCAGCCAATAAAATAAGCTTTACCTACAAATGCCACGGCTGCGACCATTGCGTGGAGTGTGCCGAGTATGCTCCTGGGACAGCTGTAAACTGCCTGAGAGTGAGGAGAGCCGAGTAATTTTTTATGTCGAGTAGGTATGCTTCAACGCATACCACTGTTCCTGATAATGAAAACAATAAAGGAAGAATGTCATGAACTTTGCACTAGATAACACTTCATGTATTGTTGAGCCACTTCAACATAGCCTTAACACTTCGTCGCATTGAAGCGAGTTTGGCAAATACACTCGAACGCTAGTGCGCTTTGTAGTGAGTGTTGCTAAATGTTCCCGTGTGACAGTGTACGAATGGCACTAGCAGTAAAGCACACTCCGTCAACGTGCGCTTATTTTGCCGTGTGTGATAGGGGTGTTGGGCTACTGCTGCCTTAGCTGCCGTTGCGCTGTTGTAACCTACGTATGGCAAAGCTCCTTTATGATTTGGCCCTTTTCCTCACAGTTCAGGTGTGGGTGACAGATCTCTTCCGGGCTCTCTTCTGCCAACTCTAGGTATTGGGGGTACAATGTCCGTAGTTATTTCTTACCGAACTCGTTTCCGATGCCTTGCTTGGCTTAGCCATCACTGTAAGTGATGACTCGTACTGTAAAAAAGAGGCGTTGACTGGAAGTGTTGACCAGAGTACATGTGGAAACGGGAGGCGTGCTCTCGGAAGTTCTGATCGTATAGATCCGTCGCATTTTTTAATAGTATATAACTGTATAAGGATATATAACTGTGCGGTTACCAGCAGGAGCAGCCACGGCCAGCAATACCGAGAGAGAATTTCAATTTTCCCAGGAATGCAGGATACTCGGCTATGCTTATCGAGTATCTGAGGGCAAGAAACTTACCAGTACGGCATTGCAGATTTCTCTTGTCCAAGGATACTTGGTCAGGTGGGGCCACAATTTTATTTTGCCCGAAATCGTCTTTGTCTTTATCTCTTCATTATTCTTCAGCTGTGTTGTCGCAAAGCACTGTGCCGACGCTCTTGTTCCCATCCACAATAGGAATATATGCCACGAAGTTTTTGCCAGTGGTCAGCTGTTCTGAAAGGCGTTTTGCTATGTGCAATTTTGGAATTTCTCTTCGCACTGCGATCCCAGTGGCGACGAATGACGTAGTGACTTTGAATCTCCTTCTTTGATTCTTTTGTGCCTTCCAAAATTCACGCCACATCTATTAGTTTAAGGAGGCACTATGAAAGACTCTTTGGTGAGCTGGTTGATGAAAATTAAATGCGGCTCAACGAGGATGTGGAAAGATGCTCGCACACAGTTTTTTCTTCGGATATACAAGAAATGCTTAACATAGTGTGTATTTAATTTATTTTTATGCTCATTCGTCATATATTTTACGTTTTTTGTAAACATAAATCTGTTCTTGAAAGTGGTGATCTGTGAATTTGTCCGTTTCCTCATCCTGTTTACCGGTGCCTCCTTGTTCTGTCGTAAAACTATTTTATGTCTAGGAGTAAACCACTTTTCCACGAGACCTAACACCCTTGCTTTGGGAAGACACCCGGTTAGCTGAAAAATGTGTTGGGGGGGGGGAGGGGGGGGGGGGGCATAACTCAGGTGGCAAAGTCCGGGTAGCTGAAAAATGTGTTGGGGGGGGGGGGGGGGAGCGGCATAACACAGGTGGCAAAGTCTCCTTTGAAGCTTCCTACACTGGCTCGTCACGACGCAGATTTTGATTGCATCTGCTCAGTTGTGTATAGCACTATTCCACTAAAAACGATTTTGGTTGTGTTCTACTAAGAAACAGTAAGTTTCAAGAAATATTAGCGAGCAGAATCGACTCGAATGCCAAGAATTGTTGAAACCCGTGAAATTATAGTGGTACTTAGGTGTGTTTCAGCATCAGTGTCAAAAAAGAAACATCGACTGCCGTGTTCTTCACAAATATTCCCGTTAAATTGAAATTGGCGACAGTAAAGTTCTCGAAGAACTATATCTGGCCTTGCGAGCTTCCACATGCATGCTAGCCTCTCTCTGTTTTACAGCGAAAGCTGTTACGAGATCAGAACAAGGGTTGCCTGAGCCATAGTTGTCCGCCACCGCCAGTTTCCATAGCCACTGTCGTGCAAAATGAGAAAAATAAAAGTAAATAAAAAACACCAAAGAGAGAATGGGCTTCCAACCGGGTCCCCTGCGCCGAGTATTCTACCCTTGAGCTACCCTGGTGTTAGGAACTCCATTGCAAACTGACCCTAGCAGGCTTCATGTCGGGAAGAGAATCTCATTAATGTGTGGACTTTAAAGCGGCAAAAGAACAGCCAGGCGTTGCACAATGCGAATGGCGCGACGAGTGGGATGTTGCAGGGTACAACCCATTACAATGACCCTAGGCATACTCGCGAGCCACAGCATTAAAATTTTGCACAAAATTTTTTGCAAGTGTGTAGTGGGCAACACACTTCTCCAAAGAATGAGACAGGGATCGCTTAGTGAATGCCTCCCTACTACATAAAAATTGACTTATGGCGTAGTGGGCACCCTGCAAGTGTGCTAGTAGCAGTTACCCTAATAGTGTTGAAAAAAAAGGCTCTCAAAGGCAGCTCATCCAGCATTCGCCGTGGCTGGGCTGTGTGTATTGCGCAGGACTGGCAGTTTTTCCCAGTCTTTGATCCCTGTTGTCAGCAGGTCATTGTTTGGTACCTACGGCCATTGCAATGTCAGCTGTAAACTATGTGCTGGATCTGAAGAAAAAAGGGAAGGCTGCATCCTTATGCAAGTTGAAGTGAGTGGCAGCTGCTTGCGGGGCCCATTTGCACACTTTTGAAATCTGGATACAATGAAGTTATAGCTGGTTTTTTTACTCTGATTACATCTTCACTCAATGAGCATTCTCAGTAGTGTGAAGTGGGAGAACACACCGTTGTGCCAGCTTTGTTCTGTCTTTCCCTGTGTTTGTGGTGTTTTGTGTGGTCGTATATCAAAAAAAAATATATTTTACTTGACCTACTGCACAAGTTTTTCAAGACATCTTGAAAAACCATTTGGCGCAAAGCAGCTCGGGGACAGACCAAGGGCATGGGACTGGCCCTCTGTCCGCCTGTGTGTTGCTTTGTGCTGAATAGTTTTTTAGTTTCTTTGTGCTGAATCGCCCAACAAAATGCTTTGCCAATTCTTAACATGAAATGTGCCACCATTGTGAGCATTCAAAGCTGAACTAAATATCAAATGCTCGTCTCTTAAGTATCTCAGTGACATTGGCGTCTCCTTTCTTGGCTTTTACAGCCATTAATCCCATGCATTTATGAGCAGTGGTTAGTAGTGATATTGTCATTACAACACTGTGTTTCTTTTTTCTTTTGGTGTTCAACGAAGTCTGAAAGTACAACTTTAAATGGAACATCGAAATGCTCTCATAAAATTGTCTCCTTCTTGTGGGTTCTTACTTGCTCGAAGCTCAAAACGTACTATTTTAACGTACTGTCCCCCATGTGAGCCTTTTAACATTTTCTGGTAGGCTTCTCTAGAGTCCATCGATGATGATGTCCACCAGACTCAAGTTGGTCAAGGTAACGTTGAAATACAGCGGGTATGCTTGGCTGTGGAATTGGAAGTCGTCTGCGGCGCCAATGCGCATCTCGAATTCCCTCCCGCAAACCAAGGTAGCCGACAATCAGAAGTGAGCTTTCTTTTGCACATGCGATCACTGTAGCCGATCACACTGTAATATATTAGAAGTTCACGACATTTCTGCCTCAAAGGCGGACGCACACTGCCCTTCACCAGTAGGATGCACACTCTGGTTGAGTTTGTGAGCCAGATGGCCGGTAACCCCGTCTTTGGAGAACATTGCGGAGTGCATGAAGAAGAATATCCCTTTAACCTTTTATTGCAGAGTGTCGCGAATTTGCGACATACCAAAAAACTTCGAGCAAGCAAATCACGCAGTGCGTGCCGCCTTAGATGCCGATTGTCAAGTACTCACGCGAAATGTAGCTTTCGACATAAAAAATCTAGCAGCGTCTCGTCTAAGGTATTTTATGCTAAAACCAATTATTTAGTAGCTGATGGCAGGAGAGTGTGTGCAACAGCTCTCACCACTTTGTTCTTTCTGGCCTGGGCAATGGAAGTTTTACCATAAATAGTTTTTGTATTTGGTGTGTATGCACTCGAGAGGTGTCGCAAGACATGTTATGCACTTCTGAAGTAAGTTTTTTGTGGCAAGGTCCTCGCTTCTGTGGCATATGGAGAATTGGCAACATACGTTACAACATGCATTCAAGTAGCATTTTGTATATTTTAATATGGAATCATAAACTTAGCTATTTAAAGCAGTGAAATCGAAACATTGTTACAGTATGAGCAGTGATATGACTTGAAGATGCCTTTAAGTTATTTCAAACTTTATTTGTTCATGGACAGAGCCTGTTATATTGATAGATTTCATGTAGTGTCGCAGAAGCAGCGAAATGCCTTGTCTTTTCTGGAAGCAGCACTTTCAAAAGCAGCGGGAAGCAAGCCTTCCTTTTTCATCGGTGTTGTCTACACAAATGTATCTGAAAATGAAATGGCTCAGTCTGTGGATTCACGAGACCACAATCTCTGGAAAGACAAAAGAGCCGGCTTTCTTTGTAACTGTGGTTAATGTAGAATGCAGAAGTTGACATTGATGATCTGATGATGTCATTGCCTGATGTTTTCCTAGGGCTCTTGCTTCAGTGTCTGGCCTTTTCTCCACTTGTCCCTCATTACAAATTTCTCCTCTCTGGTGTGTTTTCATGATGAAAGAATGGAAATCCTAGAGCACTTTAAAATGACTGACTTCGACATAAAAGTTCCAAGTGTAGCAATTTTACATCTTCAGCACCATGGATCATCCTGATGGCTTCTTCTACAGAAGCTTCTACATTCACCAATATCCCACTGCTTCATAAAAAATTCATTCGGAGTAATTTATTCGTGCCGGGTGTGGACATGAAGTGAACTCCTCCAAGTGTCTGAATCCATGCTGGTAGAGGAGGAAACATTTTCAAACATGAAATGCAAAACGTAGGAGTAAGAGAAGTACAGTGACTTGTGTCCTCTTCTTTTCATAGCTCTTTTGTTGTGTGCTTTATTTGAAATATCCTGTTTAAAGACAAGCACCTCTAGCAACACTTGTGCCTTATTGAATTCAACAGCTTTTAAATGCCCAGTTCTGCATCCATTTTGCATGTTCCATCCTAACTGTGGACCTTTCATGGTATTGCCCAATGCCTCTTGGTAGGTGAATCCTGCTCATTGATATACACTCTGGCACTCGGTATGCCCTTCGTCAAATATAAATCTTATCTGAGACAATTAGGTGAGGCGGCTAGCGTATCAAAAGTATCTTCGCCTTTTCGTCTCCGAGGTTTTGGAGTGAAGGCTCGACTCGAAGTACTAATGTCAGAAGTTGTTGCTGCCGTAACTGCGGTGCTCGAACGTGCCACCGCTCATTGATGAGTGATGATCTCGTAAAACTTTATTCACTGCTGCAGTTCTTGAGTGGTGGATCTCAAGGACCACCTCGTTATCTTTCAACCTATATCTTCTTGAGGGCTATTGTCTGGAGATGGGCTCTGCAACGACCAGCTTTGTCATAACATAGTATACAGAATTTCTGCCATGTTGCAATAGCAATCAGCGGTGCATTGCGTTATCTCCTTGGAGTCACTTTCTTTCCACAGTTTTATCCACTCATTCTTTCACTTCTTCAGCTGTGCCACTGGCGCTGTACACATGTGTTAAAATGATAGTCAAATGATATCCCGTGATTTGATTATGCTGTACGTGGCTGCAATGCCTAGCTTTGTATGTCATTACTGGTCGAAGCGTCTGCTTCACATACCCACGAGAGGTCGCACTGGAGGTGATGGAAACTGTAATTGATGAAAATCACATCGAAGAAGTAAAATGCGGCCAAAAATTTTCTTTCTTTTATTCTTTTGCATCACTGTTTGTAAGACAATTGTCAATCAGATCTTGTGTTACTTGCTTTTTGCACTGATACAGCCAAATCAGATATGTATTGTTCTACCTTTATTTTGCATATATCTAAACATTTTCCTGCTGAATTTAGCTCTTGGTGGGATACCTAAGGGCATTGTGGTGGCTAACGTAGACTGACGGAATCTTTGCATCGTTACTTTGTTGGCAAATTGAGCTGATTTTAGGTCATCTGTGACCTTCAACGTTGCAAATTCATAATGGCAGAAGAAATCATAGGCCATATCTTAAGCTTTGTTTGAGCATTGTGGTATCGTGAGTCACGAGTGACTACATGAGTAGCAAGTTGCTCTTGTGTCAAGTAGGCGAGCAGTACGCCACCATCAACTTGATGAGCATAAGGATGGCAAGGAGAGCACATTTAGCAGTCCGGCGGCCTAAGTACTCTGCATGTTAGAAACGTGGAGTCCGCTATTTGATAGCAATGAAGCTCGACCTTATACTGTGCATAGTTGACTGTCTGAGCTCCTTAGACTAAATGATTTGAAACTTTGAAGAGTAATTTCATTGTGTGTGTCATTATTAAAAAAAATCATCTACCAAAATCATTCACTTGAAGGAACTTGCGTCAAGACCTTCTTACATACCATAACTTGATCATTATATAGTATTAGGTTTTTATCTCTTTTTGCCGCAATAATGTTTTTTCAGACACCTTTTTGCCAAAAACCAGCACTGAGCGGAACCAACTTTCCTCCTCTATATCGCCTGCATTGAGGATGCGTCATCATTCAAGGCTGCACTAACCGATTGCATCATGATATCTGGAGCATATAATAGCTTAGTTTTGTTTAGGCATATATGATGATTGGTTTGTGGGGTTTAACGTCCTAAAACCACCATATGATAATGAGAGACGCCGTAGTGGAGGGCTTCGGAAGTTTCGACCACCTGGGGTTCTTTAACGTGCGCCCAAATCTGAGCACACGGGCCTACAGAATTTCCGCCTCTGTTTAGGCATCTATTCTCTTTAATTTGTTGTATTTCTGTGGTCTATTTATTGCATTTTTTATCGTTCTTGCATTACCTGCCCCGCTCTGCAAATTTTTTATGCGCCCTGAGGATATAATAAATAAATCAAACAAATACATAAATATAAGAGACAATGCTGTCTACCAAATTTGAACTTCATAACAAATTACTTATGGCATGAATTGTGTTGCAAATCTCAGAGGCCGTGCTTTTATGTTGCGCACTACAAGCGTCAAAGTATAAAATTGAAAGAGAGAAACTTTATATGAGGCCATAATAGTGAAGATATCTAACGTATGTGCGCAAGGTACAGTTATGACACGCGAATATTATGGTGGATGGCCCTTGCTAACGGCAGGTTGCTAGAAAACGTGGCTAACGTAGCCTTCAATATCTGGTTTTAATAATCTGTCTACCGCCTGCCGATTTTAGCATCAATGTTGTTGGTCGCAACGATACATGGTAGGTGTTCTGTGACATAGCCTTGGAAATTTGCATTGTACCAATCGGCATCGGCAATTGTTCAATCGGCATCGGCATCAACGTTGTGCGAAACGAGAACCACGAAAGCTGGCTGCAAGCCCCTGCTTGTGATAAGAAGTGCCAGTTTTACAGCGTCTAAAATGTCCAATATGAGAAACAGAGTCAGCATTCTGGACAAGCCGCTAAACAAGAGCAGAAGCGACGTGCGTAACTTCAATTTCACTGGCGTTTGCGAGCTTGTTCGGTGGTCGTGCTCGGTGGCGTCGCAACGTCCAAACACCGCCTCGTCGATGCACCCAATTCTTGAACGTTCTCGTTCGTTTTTTTCTGCAGGTCAGCATCAGCGTGTTCGGCCTCTTGTTCTCCGAAATCGTGCAGTACTGTCAGAACAGGGTCTACACCATACCCGAGCTTCAGACGAAGTAAGTCGTGGTCCGATCCTGTCAGCCCGGGTCGATTTGCAGTGATCACCTCAGTTACCCATGTAGCGGCTACTCGCGAAACAGTAGGTGGAAAGGGGGAGGGGGTTAAGGTTAACTTTGGACAGCTAGTACGACGCCGAATAGCGTATATCCGCCATCGTTGTGTTCGTCTGCTAGAACTCAAGGTTGTGTCGAACACCTAGCTATTCGAAAATCTTTAGTTTAGAGCTGTTAGCTGAAGTAAAGCTCGCCTTTTCACCGTGCTCTTAACTAAGGCACGGAAAGGCGCGTCCTCTTCATTATAGTAACTGTGGGGTAGGACAAATACATCGCATTGACTTACATAGCCGAAGCAGCAACAAGCCTCGTATTCGCAGGCATGTTGCAAACATTTTTGCCAATTTAACATCTTTTTGTTTGCATTTCACAAGATGCAGGAAACACGCAGAACATTGACATATTTTTCATTGGTTCCTCTCACAAAGAGCGTCGTAACAGTTGCAGCGCTTGTTTCATTTGCGAGGGTCTTTTGTGTTGTGTTCTTCAGCACACTCAGCGAAGCATCATTCTCGTTACTTAAAAGAGTCACTAAAGGTAAATAACACATCATGTCAGAGTCAAATGATGCTGCTTGAGAACGTCTGAAATGCCAATATTATGCACAGCACCTCTTGAGCAATCGAGAAATTGAGGCTAATGTAGTACACGATTTGTGCCACGACTGAGGCATTATTGAAGACATGCTCAAGGTAGTAGCAGGGCATCACAGCGATTATTTGCAAGTGCTCAGGCTACCCATGAAAAAAAAAGAACACTTCGGTGTTCCCAAAATGGAATAAAATGTGGGCAGTTCATTTCAATCTGATTCATACCAGGAACTTCTTGAAGAGGACAAAAGTTTAGTTTTTTCTGGGCTGTGCTCAGTTAAAGCACCTTGCTTCGCAGGGCTTGCTATCTGGCAGTAAAGGGCAGCAATGGCTGCATTAAAAAGCTGTTCTGGGAGACAGTTGGTTTTGTCTTATAGGTGTGCTGACGACTCCTACATTATTTTCCTTCGAAGTAAGCACTTTCTTGGCACAAAACAAACACTATGAGGTTTATGAAGCACTATTACAGCAATTAATGCCCACCTGCATCCCTCTTAAGAGGCATGAAGACAATCAAGCATTCGTCGCTTCTTTTGGTACTGCAGAATGCGCTGTTACCTTTGGGTTAAGGTCAGTACCGTAAGCATTGTTATAATTTTATTCAGCGGAGGAACCACATTTATTTCGGGCTACAGTGACACACCTTTTGCTGTGATGACACACCTTTTGCTGTGATCAGAAGTGATGTGTTATCACATGGCAGTGACAATGGGTGGGATTTTGATCGGTTCGACGTGACACGTCGCGTGTAACATTTATACAGTCCCAGCTGTGCCACACTATGGTATGCTAAAAATTATAAAAACCCCTTTAATGCATCCTTAGCTGCAGAGGATTTTGTTTCTAAATATCACCTCTTAAAGACAGCTATAAAAACAACACTAAGCAAGCTGCACAGTGGCCACAATGGGTTTCTATGGAGAGCATACAGTGAGTGAAACAAGCCTCTGGCATACATCAGCGTCAGAGTGAAATGTGAGAGGGAAGGGTTTTCTCGTTGTCGGCTTGGGTTTTGAAGTTTGAGGACTAATAACTCAGTTCCCACACAATAATTTTGATAATTATGTTTGCACTCATTTCACTGTTTCACACTCTGTAGTGCTGCAGAAGCCTGATGGAAATGTTGCAGGGCCCTTTAAGGTTGTGTGCAGTGATAGATATGAATAGAGGTACATGTAGTTTAATAAACTGATTTTATACTACGACCATACTTTTACTGCCAACGCTTGCCGACTATACTTTTACTGCCAAACACTTGCCAGGGTGATGCTGCTAACGGTGTAGCTGTTCTCTGGTGTCTGGGAAATCTGTGTATTTGACAGGTGCTAAACGTGCCTTTATGGCACAACTGAGTGTGGCTGTGCTATCAACAACGCTATTATATAGCAATTGTTCAGCCACAGAAACTACTAATAATGCTTCGGTCAGGCTGGCTCTGATGGTGTGTTTAGAGCATAAAGTATGCATGGCTTTTATATGTTTGGCCAGTTATGGTCAATCTACGTTGTCAGTCAGTTTATGTGGCCAGTAAAAAGTGGTTCGTTCGAGTAGCATGGCTGCAACGATGGCACGCACATTACGGTGCTCGGCATGTTAACTGGAAAGACTCGGGTTCCATCCCGGTCACATTTTGGAGGCGAAATGCGGCCTGTGCCGAGGCCCATGTACTGTACGATGTCAGCACATGTTAAAAGACACCAGGTAGTCATTATCATCGGCAGCCGTCTGGTACGGTGTCTCTCATGACCTGTGTTATTTTATCGTGTTCAAACCCATAGATGAAACGACCGATTTCAACACTGGAGCACTTTGAGCCTTCGTTTCAGCCTATTTTAGTTGTAGTGGGCTGAAGATCAGAATAAGGGTTGATCATGATATGAGAGGGCAGTGTCATGCGTGTATGGTACCACAACGTTGCCCGCTTTTAGCGTAAGAGAAAGTTTTCACTGACATGATTAGTGTGTATCATTTTTCACAGGCTGTCTGAGCTGGGATTCCATGTTGGCCAAAGGGTGTTGGACCTCCTCTTCGTGCGCGAGAAGAACTACAAGAGAGAGACGAAGCTCCTCAACATCCTGCTGTTTGTCAAGTCGTCGGTTTGGAAGGTAGCGTACTCTTTGAAGTGGCTAATTAGCTTTCCTCCAGTTCTTTTTTTATACACTAAACTTTTTAGGCATGCCTGATTATTTGGAAATGCTTGATAGTTCATACGTTGTCGCGGCATTGCTGTACATCCCATAGTGCAGTGCTTATGTGCATGAAAGGCAGTCTTTTGCTGTTGACCCCACCTCCATAGTTCTGATATTTTTAACAGTGTGTCAAGGAGGGAGTAATGTTGATGTTTCGGGCTTATTGGTATGATATAATGAGGCTTGTAGTGCATGTAAAGATGAGGACAAAGAAGGATGGAGCTGGCACAGATGCTAACTTGAGAGAATCTTTATTAAGGCAGTTGCTCACAATGTTCCCTTAATATTTGGGAAAAATTATTCAGGGCAGAGTGGAAAGTGCCTCAACGAGCATCTGAGGAACATCGTTTTAACACGGAACAAAAGCTGTGTGCATTCCTCGACGTGCGTTGCAGGCATTGCAAGAGTGCTGTTGTCAGGGAGGATGACGATGGCTTCAACATACAGCGTCTACTCTACTGTTGCTAGAAATTGGGGAAAGTTAATTCGGGTAAATATTGAAGCATAAATGATCCATAAGCTTGGGGATAACCTTTATCAAACCCATCAGTTGCCTTTTCCGACAAGGAGTTATCTGCATAATGATATACAAGTTTTATGCAGATATGCACTTATGATGATCTCTGCAAAAAAAAATTAAGTATATGCAGGGGTTCTTGGCTTGTAATAAAGTTTGTTAAAAAATATCAACTGCTTGCATAATGTCCTTGCTCACCCTCATCTCTCCGTACATTGTAAGCTTATGGTATTAAGAAGGCTTAAGGGTCGGTGCAGGTGTCTCCAGTTCTCATCGCGCCTGAAAAGCATCTCGTGCTCCGAATGAGTGACGATGTCAAGCACTCATGTCACTGGCACACACGTGTCGCCAAGACTCGCTCTGATAGGCCTCTGGGTGGCAGCCAGTCTCCACTTTGGCTCTCTTTCAATGAGCACATTATTGTCACAATAGATTCTCACAAGTTGATTATGGGGACTCTGCTACCCACAACTTTATGTTCTTTCGTTTGGTGGGCTGCTACTGGCTAATACTTGAAAAGGTGTTGCTAAGGGATCACAAAAGACAGATGGGAAACAGGACCGTAAGCTATAATCGTCCTTTTGGTCCTTTTGAAATAAAAAGTGCAACCAACTCGACTAACCTATTGTTATGTTTATACTAGTTAGTCTAGCACTTCAGGCACGTAAGCACTGTAGACTGTTAGTAAACTGAAATTCCTTGAATGGTATTTCTGCTTGAGTGGAACAACTGCTTTTAATACGTTCAAACTTCATTGTAACAAAGTTGCACCTTACATGAAAATAAGTTCGTTATATCCAAAAAGTCGTTATAAAAGTATACTCATAACACTAAATTGTGAGATTGTTTTTCATTTACTTTGTTATAACCAATATTTTGTTATATCCAGGTTCGTTATATCGAGGCTTGAGTGTATGATTGGTTTTCTGCTTGCATTCTGCGGCCTTGTTCATCTCTCAATAAACTGGACTGTGAATGAAAAAGAGCTTCATGATCCTTTCAGCTTCAGTTAAATGAGGGTCTTCTATATTTGACTGGCCTTGTATTGGACCTCTTTCTACAAGCGGGAAATCCTGTTCTTTGTCTTGTCCAATGACTGTGCCGCGAGGCTTTTGGGGCCAGTGCCCACAACACTGGCATGAATCACCCAAGAGCTGTGCTCATTTAACTCTGAAGTAGGATGCGTGCAGTGCCAGAAATTCGACTGCATCAGGCTGTGGTGCAGTTGGATAGCGGAGGAGGGCTGCACCCTTTCCTGACGGTCACTTTCAGGGTGTGACTTGTTGGCTGTCACCTGTAGGGAAAGCCTCGGGCAATGTTTACATCACTGGTTTCCTATGTTCGACATGGCCCGCCAACTCTGATATAAAAAGTCTTGTGCTCTGGCGACTGAACCAGCTATACATGTGAGCATCCACTGCAACACTAAAAGGCTCGAAGGAGGAGTAAGCTTAGAGAGGGCACCTGGAGGTTTCCCGTTATTCTTGTGCAGTGTCATTTTGATGGAGCTTTCATAACACTGAACCCAAATGAGAGGAACGGAATCTGCTTCAGAGTGGCAAACACAACATCCTTCGATTCTTTCTTGGCTGTGAGAATTCGGGAGGCCATGTATGACTCAGACTGTGTAATTGCATTAGCCCTCAAATGCGGCCTCCCGTTTGATGTGCATGATTACGTCATGGCTTGCCAACTTTTGTAGCAACTGGATTTGCCCCGATGACATCAGGCCCAAGTGAACATGTCCACTAAAGAAGTCTTTTAATAGCTCTTTTGGTGGCGTGTGATCCAGCTGTCAGTCAAGACTTGGAGGGCCTGAGGTCCATGTGCTTAGGTTTAGATGCACGTTAAAAAACCCCAGGTGGTCTAAATTTCCGGAGCATTCCACTACGGTGTCTCTCATAATCATATGGTGGTCTTGGGATGTTAAGCCTCAACAGTTAATAATTATTAACTAGCCCTGATTAAGCAGTTACTAATGCACTTAAAAGGAGGCATGAAACAAACAGGATGTGAACATCTACGATCTTGTAGCAGATAAATTAGACCACCTGATTCAGTGGGTGAGAGCCAAGGAAATTTGACAGAAACATCTAAGCGCAATCCTTTTGTATGTGCCTATAATAAATATTGGATGTATTTAAGCAATTTTTTTTGGTCTTTACGTTTCTTGACAGGGTTTTAACTGGGGGTGTGCTTCTACAGATCCACTCACTCAGTTTGTTCAGAAGTGATTTCAATCTGATGTGTTAAAGATGTCATGGCATATGGAGGCGACACTTCGGCAAAAAGATTGGCAGCCTATAGCCCCTAAAGGTTTTTTCGCACAAGTCCCATGTGAACATGTGTTTTCTCGTTTCTCTACAGACTCTGTTTGGAAAGGAGGCCGACAAGCTCGAACAGGCCAACGACGACGACAAGACCTGTATCCTTGGCTTTTCTGCTTTTTTAACGTTTCGTAGACTGTACAGACTGGCACTTCTTGATATGACTTGCTGTCTTGATGATTGCAATTCGCAGCTACAAAGAGGGCTGTGGCAAAAATTTGCTTTGGAGCAAACATTTTGTGTGAATCCAAAAGTTGTATTAGTGTTACCACTACAGTAAAGAACTAAGGACTAATGGAATGAGTTTGCAGAAATCTTAAATCTATTCAGTCGTTGCTCAACATTTAATTTGGTAATTAATAAAAAAAATTATGTTTAAAGTAGCAGATGTCCCAAAACACTATGGACTTTTTTCCTTCCTTTTTTTACTGACTACTCCTGCTGGTGTACAAGCAACCAGGTTTGTCAGGGACACAGTAAAACTGTGTCCCTGACAAGTAAAACTGTGTTCCATTCCGGACACAGTGAAACTGTGTCCCTGACAGCTTTGCCCGTGACCCTGTAATATAAAGGGCCCCTAAATATCTCAGAGTATGAAATTTAGTTGTGGTGTTTTAGTATAGATCCGAACAGGAGCAAGTATTGTTTCTTGGAAATGGTGGCGCACCCGTGGCTCGCAGTGCTGCTGTGTTATGCATTGTTGATTGTTAACGGAGTTTTCAACTCTGCACATGCTTGCTTCAAATGTAAAAAATACATGTTTTTTAGGTGGTTCATGGATTATTTCAGACAGAAGTACACTGAGACCTCAATATAATAAACCTACATGTAAATTAATACTGGTTATAATGAAGCAATTGAAAAATTGTCTTGCAGTAGATTAGGTGTTAAGAATACAAAGAATACCTTTACAATGAATTTTTGGACATAACAAGCTTATTTTCTTGTAAGATGCAATGCAACATTATTGTAACGAGGTTTGAGTGTATAAACAATTTTATACTGACATGAAATCTTTGGAGCAGTTTGCCTTCATTTTTCGACCAGATTACTTGATTGAAAAGGAGCCACTGGTCACCAAGTTCATTTCGGTTCCCAAGGACAGAGGTGAGTGGTGGGATGAGTGACGTGAAATTTTAATTCCTTGAATGCTCTTTTAACCCTTTTCCCCTTCTTTTGTGCGTGCGGTGAGACGGCGTACAATGCCAGCCGCTGTTCTTCAGTAATATGAGTTGAGAAATTCGCCATAGGCTCCGTGTATTGAAATCGGGACGTGCCTCCGTTCGAAGGCATGAGGGTGTGCTATCGGTATTGCTTCCTGTACACAGAAAATCGATCTAGAACGTGGAGCTCTTGTGCGATGTGTTTCACTGATGCAGAAGTGTTGCTGTATAGATAAAGCAAGTAGTCTGTTTACATTTGTGGCTCACGTTGTACAGATGACATTGCAGAAAGAAAACTATTTGACCTTTCTTGAAAGTATGTTTCCTTATTCTTGCCATGGCAACTGACACAATAACCACAGAGAATGCAGCTGTCACGCTGATGTGGCATATTTGTCTGTGACAGACGTGGCATGTCTATCTGTGTTCTCGTTAAACTAAAAAATCTCGCCGAAAATTCGGCTGAGTTGTGAGAAAGTGACATCTCTTGAAATTTTACCATTCAAAGCCACCCTCACCTGGAGAATTTATATGCAATCTTGTTAATTTATTGGCTGAAGTTAATGAATTACCATTTCTAGCACCCTATTACCATTTCTAGCACCCTCATAACTCCTGGCATATACAATGTTACTCGCAATGTACATGAAGGAGAGAAGTGTAATTTTAAGGGCTTGTTTTCTTTGTTAGACGCAAATAATGCGAACTAACAGACAATCGTTCCTAGGAAAGTATAGCCCCGCCGCAGTGGTCTAGTGGCTAAGGTACTCGGCTGCTGACTTGCAGGTCGCGGGATCGAATCCCGGCTGCGGCAGCTGCATTTCCGGTGGAGGTGGAAATGTTATAGGCCCATGTGCTCAGATTTGGGTGCACGCTTAAAGAACCCCAGGTGTTTGAAATTTCCGGAGCCCTCCACTACGGCATCTCTCCTAGTCATATGGTGGTTTTGGGACGTTAAACCCCACAAATCAATCAATAAATCTAGGAAAGTATAGAAGATGTTATTGGAATTGTAGTGTAATTTTTGAAGAAAGAAGAGTGGACAAAAAGATAACTTGCCGTGGGCAGGGACGGAAGCTGCGAGCTTCGAGTGAAGCGTCTGATGCTCTACCACAGCGGCTATGCCTTCGTCCACTTTGTAGGTTATGTAGGAGCTTCAGTTGGGGCCGCCTGTTGCCGTTGTGGCGAGTGTGAGACATTCATTTTTGCCTGTTGGTGTCGCGTAGCACGTGATCTTATTACGGGCTGGCAGCTGATCGATAATCCCTCGCATACCACTTCATGGCATTAAGTCTTCTAGAACGAAACTTGCTATCACTGAAGGATGAAGGAAAGAAGTGTAATCATAAGAGCTTGTTTTCTTTCTTAGACACACAATTAATGAGAACTGTTTAAATAGGCACAGCTATGTTTTTGTTATTATTGACATGTGACAACGTGGTCAGTGTATCAATATTTTGGCCGACTTGCATCCCTGTATAGACTGCATATGAAACAAAACAAATATATGAACAAAAAAAAATATGTGGGCACTGCTGGCTGGAGCGGATTCACGTTGTGACAGTTGCCTCGACATTGTGCGTGGTGGCGCTGCTGTCGTACGTCGTATAGCAGAGAGGGCAGAACACTGTGACAGCGCAGGGTGCTCATTGTGGCGAAAAAAAAAAAAAAGAAAACTAATGAAGTACTGAAACGTCAACAGGAGCAATGTGAACACAGACAGTGAGAACGGGACCATGCAGAAAAGGAGAATGTGTCGGAGGACTGTCACTACCTGCAGGGGCTCACACCAGAGGAACGAGCATACAGGCATTAAGAGCAGAAACTAGAATGCAGCTTCGCTGGCATGAATGTTAGGGCTTCAGAATTTATTTTTTTATGTGGGTTTCTTTTGACATTTTTTAGAGGGGCCCTGCAACACTTTTTGAGCATGGTCAGAAAACACAGCCTACCGGCAGTAGAGGCACCGAGGACACGCGAGTTAAATATTATAGCTCAGCACGCAGCCTGGGATTCAGAATAAATTCTCAGTCAGATAAGTGTTGCTTTCTCTTTTCTCGACAAATGAGGGAAGAAGCCCAAAAATCACTCGTCAAAGCTGTATCAGTCGTTGGTTTATTTGAGCATGGCCCGCTCGGTACTTACAGAGATCGCCGGGAAAAGCTACGTCTGGTTGATGAGCACGTGCACGATGGCACTGACAAGCCACGTATTCAAAGAAGATAGTAGAAAAAAGTGGTCAAGTTCCAAGGCACGCATGACATATTTGCTTTCACCATGCCATCTCTCCCTGCTTAGCTTCCAGCACTTTCGTCTAGACGAGAGAAGAGAGAATGCAACTGCAACGTGCGATAAATCTTCGCAACTCCTCTCATTCGAGACGAATTCGAAAACTTTACGCGGTGGTGAATATGTGATGCAATAAACTTCTTTAGTAAATCCACTTCATGGCTACTTGAAGAAGTGCTGCAGGGCCCTATTAAGCAAGTTCACAGTGTTCAAGTCCTATTCCTTTCCATACCCAATTTTTTTTCTAGGGTGGGAAAAAAATTTATTGCTAAAAAGTTTTTATTTATTTATTTATTTATAATACCCTCAGGGCCAACAAGGCATTAAAGAGGGGAGTGGGTAAATACATGAAAAATACAAATAAAACAGTGCAATAAATACAAATAAACAATACAATAATTACAAATAAAACAATACAATAAAAGACAGATATTATTAACATTTCTGCAGAATGTATAAAAAAATAGTTATTACTAAATATACAAAAACAGAAGCAATAAGCATAGGTAACAGATTTTCTTGGTTATACAATGTTAGCTAATGTTTCGTGGAAAAGTTTGAAGTCAGTAATGGTTGCGACATTCGGGGGAAGGCGGTTCCAATCATGAGATGTGCGGGGAATAAATGACTGAAAGAAAGACCTAGTGTGACATGATGCGATTCCTACCTTATTGCGATGATCAACACGGTTTGAGATGTACAGAGGCTGGAGTATCAGGTCATTATGAAGTGTAGGGTGATAGAAAATTTTATGAAACAGCGAAAGACGGGCGATTTTTCGTCGGTGAGCCAATGGAATAAGTGATAAATTATTTTTCATTGAAGTCATACTTGCAGTGCGGTTGTAGTTAGAGAGGATGAACCTAGCAGAGTTATTTTGTACTAGTTCAAGAGATGTGATGAGATTAGCATGACTGGGATCCCATATGGCGGATGCATATTCGAGTTTGGGGCGTATGAGAGACTTATAGAGTACTAGTTTCAAGGAAGAGGGTGCTTTGGAGAAGTTACGTCGTAAGTAGCCGAGCATGCGATTAGCATTGTTAATCACGTACTCTACATGAGTTGTCCAACTTAAGTTATTTGTGATGTGCACGCCAAGATATTTATAAGACAGGACGGAATCTAAAGGAACGTTGTTTAGGTGGTAGGTGTTATGATTCGAGTTAGTTCTTGATACGTGCATTATCTTACATTTCTTAATATTAAGTTCCATTAACCAGATATTACACCAATTAGCTATATTATTTAGGTCAGTTTGAAGTGTTTTAGTATCATCAACATTGCTGATTTCGCGGTAAATAACACAGTCATCTGCGAACAGATGTATGTTAGAAGTTATTGAAGAAGTTAGATCATTAATATATACAAGAAATAATAAAGGTCCCAACACTGAACCTTGAGGCACACCGGATTGTACTTCAGTGAGTGGTGAATGATGGTCGTTAGCAGTTACGAATTGGAAACGATTAGAGAGAAAATGTTCTATCCATTTAAGAAGGTTAGTGTCAATATTTAGCAAGCTTAGTTTTAAGAGCAGTAATTTATGGCAAACCTTGTCAAATGCTTTGCTAAAATCCAAAAAAATACTGTCAGCGCAAGATGATCGATCCAGAATTTGATGCAGATTATGAGTAAACGAAGCAAGCTGTGTCTCGCAGGAATACTGTTTTCTAAAACCATGTTGCGCTTTAGCAAAGTATGAGTTAGACTCTAGAAAGTTAGCAAGGTTCGAGAAGATTACATGTTCTAATAATTTGCAGCAATTACTTGTTAGTGATATGGGTCGGTAATTAAGAGGCGAGTTTCTGGGGCCAGATTTATAGATTGGAACCACCTTCCCTATTTTCCATTCCTTTGGAAGTTGACAAGTACTCAATGATTGTTGAAATATTTGACTTAGTATCATTGAACTAACTACGTTAGTGCTTTTAAGAAATTTGCTATTAATGCCATCATAGCCAGGAGCGGAGTGGAACGGTAACTTATCTATTAGTTTCAATATTCCAGGTACCTCAATAATTACTGGATCCATGGGCATGTAATTATAGCGGTGCGCATAAGGAAGTATGATGTTGGCGGATTCGGAGTACTGGCTTGAAAATGAATCATTAATAGCTGATGCGCACATGTTATCGGGGATATTATTTCCAGATGAATCTTCTAGTGATATAGTGTTGTTAGTGGTTGGGTTAATCATTTGCCAAAACTTTCTAGGGTTATTTTTCAATGTTTCAGGTAGTGTTCTAGTTAGGTAGTTGTTTTTTGCAGTTTTTAGAGCTCTTAAGTAGGCGTTTGCAGCAGATTTGTAAGTTGTCCAGCGCGAAGGTGAAGGCGAGCTTTTAGCTAAACGAAAGAAACGCTTTTTTCGATTAGATAGGCGTTTTAGATGACTGGAATACCACGGCGCTTGGGGATTGGAAATGAGTGTGCGATTTGGGATGTACTTCTCTATCAATTTATGGACTGTGCATGCGAACAGATCCCAGTTGGATTGAACGGAACGAGATTCAAAATCTCTAACAAAATCATCGTAAAAGTGAGTTAGCTCATTATTTATTGCTTCGAAGTTAGCTTTCCGGTAGCATCGTATGCGTTTCTGCTGTTTAGTCTTTTTACTAGGGCTAATATTGATAACAAAGTTTAGCGAGACGTGGTCGCTGATTCCTGGTAAGTATGTAATGTCGGAGACAAGGTCAGGATGCGTTGCTAGTATTAGGTCGAGAGTGCTTGCTGTATTACTTGTAATTCTTGTGGCTTGAGTTACTAACTGATTCAAGCAATAAACGGAGCATGTATTCAGAAAATCTTCACTCTGCTGTGAAAAGGGGGAAATACGTATCGGCATTGTGTTCCACGTTATGTTGGGAAAGTTAAAATCTCCGAGTAAAAACATAGGTAAAGAAGGGAAACGAGAGCTTACTATGTTGATGGAGTCATGCAGTTCGTTAACAAATGAGGATGGTGAGGAAGGTGATCTGTAGCAGGTACCTAGAACCAGTTTACAGCTACCCAAAGTTAGTAAAGCCCAGGTTATTTCTAGTAAACTGTTTACTTGGATTGGTGATGATGGTATGTCCTTCGAGACCGCAAGTAGTACGCCTCCTCCTCTATGCTCGCTGCGGTCGCAGCGATATACCATAAAGTTGTTTGCCTCGTGAAATATTTCTGAGTCTGTTGTTTGTGCGGAAAGCCACGTTTCAGTTAAAGCTACTATTTTCGCATCGCATGTATCTATAATGGATGAGAGGGCACAACGTTTATTGAGAACACTTCTGGCGTTAGCAAACAATACAGATACCGGATGCGATTGACGATGCGATGATATGCCACTACCCCTCCCTTCTCCCTACAGTGAGGCATTTCGCCCAGTGGAGTCTCCGCGACCTGATTGGTTGCCACGCGATCGTATTTCTTCAACGCAATCAAGTTCAAAGTTGTAGTAAAAACGTTTATTATTCATGAGCAATTTGTTATAGCGCAGTTTAAACTGCGGGCGCCCAGGATAGTTCTTTGCAAATTCAATTAGTTTTTGGCGAGAAGTGCGGGTACGTTGACAAAAATCTTCCGTCACTGAAATGTTCTTTTGTTTCAGCTGGTTACGAAGTGACAAAACTTTTTCTCTGGTCTTGTAGTTGGAAAATTTGGCTATTATGGGGCGGCATTTGGCAGGTGCAAACAGGCCAAGTCGGTGTGCGCGATCAATTGACTCTGTGCAAAAAGATCCAAGTACTTCATTTATCGCTGCTGATAGCTTAGCTTCAGTTTCGTTCCAGGTTTCTTTAGCGTCAGCTATACCATGAAAGATTAGGTTGTCACGCCTAGATCTGTCCTCAATCTCATCGAAGCGTGTTTGATAGTTATTACTTTGGTGCGTTAGACCAGATAACGACGCGTGTACTTCTGATAAATCTTTGCCAAGTTGATCAAAGTCCTTCGATTTTTCTTCGAGTTCGTCTAGTCTTTTTTGTATGCCGGTTATTTTTGTTTCTATGTTTTTTTGCCCGTTTTTAATTGCTTTAACGTCAGCAGCTAGTTCGGTTTGCACTTTCGAACTTTGGAGTGAACGGCTGTGTATATCTTTGAGTAGTTTAAACATTGCTTTCATCTGCTCGGCAGGATTTTCTGGTAACGAATCAATATCAAGTACGTTTTCAGAGCGCGTGTTAGGTCCCGGGTTAGTTTCAACATCTCCAGATTGTAGGAGCAAAAAAAGCATGGAAAAACAGTCGCATACAACTTCATACAACACTTTTGGGCACGGAAACAGTAGCAAAAACGGGTTGTCTGATTTTTTAGCGTATAGAGAAAACTTTGTACACACCTGCATGTTGAAAAACCGGTGGTTAGAAGCCATGCAAAGCGCACTGTTTCCGTGCCCACTGAAAGGCAAATCCATGCGCCGTGTGCTTAAGTAGACCACGGGAGGTGTTGGCGACGTCGATGCGGCTGGGAACCCGAAGTAGAGTCCTTCTGTCGCAGTGAAATTGTAAAAAATTTCATCGTCAACCCTGTTGTCCGGTCCGTACGAGGGTGGCAACTTCATCACTATCTCCCACGAACACACGTGTGCCGCCGACGAGCACGCTATCAGGAGAGTCAGCAGATTCTGCATGTTGAAAAACCGGTGGTTAGAAGCCATGCAAAGCGCACTGTTTCCGTGCCCACTGAAAGGCAAATCCATGCGCCGTGTGCTTAAGTAGACCACGGGAGGTGTTGGCGGACGTCGATGCGGCTGGGAACCCGAAGTAGAGTCCTTCTGTCGCAGTGAAATTGTAAAAAATTTCATCGTCAACCCTGTTGTCCGGTCCGTACGAGGGTGGCAACTTCATCACTATCTCCCACGAACACACGTGTGCCGCCGACGAGCACGCTATCAGGAGAGTCAGCAGATTCTGCATGCTGAAAAACCGGTGGTTAGAAGCCATGCAAAGCGCACTGTTTCCGTGCCCACTGACCTAAAAAAGCTAAAAAGTTTTTAAAGAGGCATGCAAAAAATTTTGGAAACTCTAACTATGGTGGTGTTCAAGGTCTAAGCATGTCCAGTATACTGGACACTAGGATTTCTTTGTTGCGCTTATGGGTATACACATTCTGCTATCTTCCTTGAAACAGTGATAGTGCTTTTGGCCCTGTCAGAAGGTTAATCGTCTTACAAAACGCAGAAGTGGTTTGTTTTTATCCGAGAAAAAGAAAAAAATTCTTATGGCTAACACTCATGCATAGCATCATGATGGTAAAAGACCTAGGAGGGAGCGTGCTTAGCGTCCACAAGCCAACTTCCGCAAACGCCGCTTCCTCCTCGTGCGCTGTGCTCTTGGTAGAATTCCCAGGATGCTCCTGTTTCATTTCTGATCGCTGGGCTTCAAGCTTGTCACCTAACGCTCACTCCTAGTTTTCTTTTTTTCCTGCATATTTGGCACGATGCGATCCAATTGAATCCTGGTGTCCAGTGTTCTGGACATGAAAACATTCTCGCATTGCGTGCAAACTACTGCCTACAAAAGCTACCTGTTTGCGTCATTGTTTCGAGAGGGCATCCGTCAGCTTGCACGATTTATATTATCTGAATGGTGTGATGAAAGTTCCTAAAATGATTTTGTATACAAAACCACACCTTGCGCCCGCTTTACTCCATGAATGACGCCCATATTCTAAGGCAACCCCATAAAAAAGTGGGGCTGAGGGAGAAAAAACATTCAAAATTATGTTGCTCGCCTCTTACAGAGGCTGCAAACATGGTTTCGGCTCCGATTGTGGCTCTGCTTGCTTTTGTGCACCGCCTTTTTTGGTATGTCTAATACACTGGTCGCTGGGAAGGAAAGGGATATATCCCTGTGATCCGCAGCTTTACCTGTTAACACAGGTTGCTGCTGTGGCAGCTCTTTCAAGATAACACACTTGCCTCACTGGCTTCAAGACTTAAAGTATACAATGAGGCTCTTGTGTTTAATAGTGCATGTCTTCACATTCTTGCTTTATAATTGCATTGAAGGACTTTTTATACTCGATTTTCCCGGCTTGCAATTGCCCTAGTATTAATCTCTTAATAGTTGCCCTTTTGTAGTGATTGATTTTAGGGCCTCTATACAGACAGCCTTGTTTCATTTTTCATGCTACACTATTTATTATTGCTAACTCAAAACTTGCAGTCGTGGTGCTCTTCAGCCACACCTGGGCCTTGTGTCAGGTCTCTCTGTCACCGCGCGTTTGCAGGAGGTTTTCAGGGCACTAAATCGGGGGGGGGGGGGGGGGGGGGGGTCGGTTGGGATAGGAGTTTATGGTGGCCTGCGATTTGCTGGTGACATGCTCGTGATGTTGCTTTGATGAGTGGCAGAACAAATGACTTACAGCTCATGATAGCTGAACTGGACACGGAGGGCCGAGGGGTAGGTCTGAGAACTGATGTGCACGGAACTGAAGTGGTGTGCAGCAGTCTCAGCAGAGAACAGCACTTTGCAATGGGTGGAGAGACGCTGGAGCTGTGGAGGAATGTGTCAGCTTAGGACAGGTAGTGGCCACGGACCGGGGCCATGAGAGTGGAATGACTGGAGGAGTGGGGATGGGGGGGATCATATTCGGCAAGCATTCTCAGGTCATGAATGGTGATCTGCCACTAACCCTCAAGAGGAAAGTATATAACAGCGGCATCTTGCCAGCACTTACCTACTGAGCAGAAACCTAGAGGCTTACAAAGAGGGTTCAGCTTAAAGTGAGGACGCTGCGAGCGATAAAAAGGAAAATGATAGGGTAACCTTAAGAATTAAGAAGAGAGCAAAGTGGGTCAGAGAACAAACCAAGGTTAAGGATATCATAGTCGAAATCAAGAAATAGAAGTGGACATGGGTCGGGCACGTGGCGCGTGGGCTGGATGGCCAATGGTCATTGAGGGTGACTGGCTGGATTTCCAGAGAGGGCAAGCGCACAAAGGGGAGACTGAGTGTTTGGTATGCTGGTGAGATTGGGAAGTTCACGGGTGTGGCTGGTAGTGGGAGGCACGGGACCGGGTTAATTAGCATATCATGGAAGAGGCCTTTGTCCTGCAGTGGGCGTAGTCAGGCTGATGATCACGACTATGATGGCCTTTGTGTCAGTCAATAAGCGCCATTGCATTACCATCATTATGGAAGCATAAATTGTTGGTGCCTTATTATTCTAAGAATGTCTGTCCCTGTCGTTCATGTCAATTTTTTTTGTTATTCTGTTCAGGTAGCCTCAACTGTGCATCATTTGTCGCCGGAATCATCGAAGCCATCCTCATTGGCTGCAACTTTGTAAGTGTATCTTCTCCATTTTTTTCCTTGGCTTGGGGATTGTATCTTTACATGCTGCTTGCTGGGGCTCTGCTTTTACGACTGGCTCCAGAAACTCTAAGCATGTGGCACTTTTAACTTGGATTTAACAAGTTGGGCTTGATGTTTTGTTCTTAATTGTAAATTTTAGGCATGTGCAAATACTTGAGCACTCCAAATATTTAGAGGAAAATTACAGTATTCAAATTTGCTACGAAATGAACTTAAGTTAGCCTAGTATTTAAGGGGGGACGCGGGGATTTAATCGCGAAATTCTCGCAAAAAAACGAATTTTGGATAAGGGCAGATTTGGATTCTGCATCACCATTTCTATCATATCTAAAAATATTTCCGCCGAAAACGATCTCAAAGTAAGCTTAAAAAATGTTTTTCTGACCGCGGATCGCAAAAAGCTGGCTGAAATCTGCGCGAAAATGGCCCATTTCCGAGCGCGATACTTCCGCGCCTTCGCCGCCGCTCGCGGAAAGCTTGGTGTCACTGGAAAGCTTGCTTCACCGCCGTACTTCTCCCGGTGAAACCACGACTCTACGAGCTAAGATAAACGCACAAACAGAAAAAATGCGAAGGGGTCCGCGACGCCTTAGAAGCGCACCCATTGGTCGCTCCTGTCACGTGGTACTGAGCGCGCTCTGTGAGTGGCTGCTGGGACGCGCTTGCTTGCGCTGGTCGTCTGCTCCGCGCACGCACGTCTGCTACGCACACGCTGGCGCACTATAGTTTGCAAATCCCCTGCCGATACGCCGATACGGTCGCCGATACGCCAACTCTTCTCTAGCGCGAGGCTTAGCGCCCGCAATGGATCGTCGCGTGGACCGGAAGCGCAGGACGAAGTACCGGACGAAGTACGCTTACGGGAAGCGTAAACGCAAGCCTCCTGTTGGGAAAACGAAGCAGTCAGCAGCGATTAAATCAGACGAACCGAGTACCGCGTCGCCAGCAAGCTACGTGTCGTCGGAAGCCGACACCTGCTCGCTGCCGATGCTCGGCAGTGAGGCCTACGACGCGGGGCCGTCAACTAGCCGCGACGTTGCGGTGCGGCCCGAACGCGAAAGAAGTTTCGTTTTCGCTGCGGCGGGTGACGATGCGGTGCCGGCTGTTCAAAGTGACGGTGAATCGACGCCTGGCAGTGACACTGAAGACCCGGGGCCATCAACTAGCCGCGGCATCACGGTGCGGTGTGAACGCGAGAAAAGTTTCGTTTTCGCGGCGGCGGACGACGACGTGGTGCCAGCTGTCCAGGATGTCGGCGATCGTTTGCCTCAGCGGAAGCGCACCGTTCAAATACACCTGGAACCTCGTTTCGTGTCCTCGGAAGGCGCCGAGAAGCAAGCCAGCAGTGTCCGCGATGCACTTCGCGAGGTGTCGGCAACGGAGCGGAAGTTCGGGTTCGCGCAGCAAACGGAGCAAACATCGGCAACAAAAGAGGATGAGTTCACCCTAATTCAGGTTTCTGCCATGAATTCCCTAATAGGACCTGCACTCTGCCCAAAATGTTGTAAGAAGACTTTGTCAGTGCAGCATGGGACAAAATTGGGCCTGGCAGTAAAACTGGTACTTTTGTGTGCTTCCTGTGGCCCTATTCATTCACCTTGGTCATCCAGTAGAAAATCCGAAGGAAAGGCTTTTGAAGTCAACCTAAGAGCCATGCAAGCAATCAAGTCCATTGGAAAAGGGCCCACTGCCCTGAATGACTTCTGGGCTACAATGAATGTCTCTCATCGGGGCATTCATCAAAAAACCTATCAGGAACACCTAAAAAAAAACATTCAAACCAGGAGCAGAGGAAGCTGCACAAAACATCTTTGCAGATGCTGTGCTTGCGGTAAAAGACGTGTACAGTAAGATGCAGCCATCAAGCCCAAACAACATCACAGTTGTGTATGACGGCACGTGGCTTACAAGAGGCCACAGCTCACACATTGGGGTAGGATGTATTATTGAGATTTACACGGGGCTTGTGCTGGATTGCACAGTCCTTTCCAACTTCTGTCTTGGGTGTTGTCAACAACCAGCAGAGAGCGACCCCAACTTCGTCACTTGGGCTGAGAAACATCAATGTCAGAAGAATACTGATGTTGGCTCTGTACAGATGGAAGTGGAGGCTGCTCTGACACTTTTCAGGCGCTCTGTCAGCAGGTATGGCCTCCGCTACACCAACATTATATGTGATGGTGACAGCCGAACCTATCTTGCTCTGTGCAAAGATGAGGTGTACGGCTTCATACCACTGACCAAAGAAGACTGCGTGAACCATGTGCAGAAGAGAATGGGCACCGCTCTCCGCACACTGGTGACAAGAGCTAAGAAAGGGGAGCCATTGGGTGGGAGAGGTGGACTGACGCAAGAGTTGATTAAAAAACTGACCAGCTACTACGGGTTAGCCTTGCGAAAACACACAAGTGTCCCTGAGATGCAAAGGGCCGTGATGGCCACTTTTTATCACATCACGTCCACCGACGACGAGCCTCAACATGAGCTCTGCCCACCTGGCCCTGATAGCTGGTGCAAACATCGTTCAGCACAGGCCAAAATGGAGCCAGCACCACCTCACAGGTATAACCTGTCGAAACGTGTAGCGGAGGCTCTGCTGCCTGTATACCAACGTCTCTCTGACCTGCAATTGTTGGAGCGATGCAAAGGCAACAAAACTCAGGAATGCGGCGGAAAGCTTGCATTCAGTTATTTGGTCACTGACTTCAAAGGACCAACACGCTTCATTGTTCGCAGTGGAGACAACAGTACATGAAGCAGTTGCACGCTACAATTTTGGGAATTTGCGAGCCTACACTGAAATGTGCAAGTCCGTGGGCATCAAACCTGCTAGCCTCGTCCTTCAAAGAGCTGAAGAAAAAGACCAGCAAAGAAAACGAAAAGCACGCAGTGCAGAAAAAATGAAAGAGAAAGGACGTAAGAAGACCCTCGCAAGCAAAGACACAAAGTATTACAGTCCCGGGGCATTTTGATGGACCTTTACTGACTGTTCAACTTTAACGCCAGTTTTCTCAGAAACGTGTTTTGACCCGACTGTCCAGCTTGCCACGATGCTTGCATGACTATGGCTTGACGGATTTTCATGTGGTTTTTTGCATTGTGTTCCTCAGTGAATTTTCTATGTCGTGACGTTTTCATATTTGTTAATTACTACCTCAGTATTTTTACTCCTAAGCTAATTTCACATTATGATAACGACCACATTTACTAGCATGTATACAATGTTCTCTGTAAAATAAAAGCAGAGTCATAAAAATATTTGCAGAATGTCACGACATCAACCATCCCAATGGCTAAAATATAAGAGCAACTATAGGCTTCTACCATGTTTTTTTGTCACACCAGGCTTTGGGCAAGTTTGGTAGTACACTGATGGATAAAAAAATTTATAATGCCAGAACTACTGGAGATAGCTGAATGAAACTTTGTCATTTATCATTTAGCGCAGTTTCCAGTAAGCATGCCAAATTTCATTGCTCTACGACAAAAACTAAAGAATTTCACTTTCGATCCCCACCTCCCCCCTTAAAGCACGAAACCAGTATATCACTGACAGTTGTTTCTTGTTAGCAGCTGTTTTGTTGAAGAGATTTTTGTTTAATGAGAGTTTACTGTATTTTATAGTACAGTATACACTGAAACCTCAATATAACAAACACGGATATAATGAAATATCAATTTTAACAAGGTAAATGGAAAATAGTCTTGCGATACAGTGTTCGAAATAACCTTTCTAACGAATTTTCGGTTATAGCGAACTTTTTTTCTTGTAAGATGCAACTGTGTTAAAATAAGCTTTGCATGTAGTATAGCACAGCAAGAGAAAGGACAGAGAGAGGTGAGAAGGGAAAAGTCTAGCTAAGACCTCTAGCTGTGCTGTGACCCAGACCTGTGCGGCTAGGTGCAAGCTGCGCTATTTTTGTTGTGTGTGTGTGTGTTTTGAAAAGAAATTGAGCGATGTTATTCTTGATGACGGCATCATGTAAAGCCTTGTGAAAGACGCTGCAAGGCCATGTCAGTGAGTGGCTTTGAATTGCTGTGGCAGTACTATAAGGTATGTGCAGCAGATCGCCTTAATGCGTGTAAAATCTGCAAAAGCTCGATGGTTGGAATAAGTTTCACCAAAATGAAAGTATAAGCCCTCCAGCTATTTGCAGCATGCAGCATCCAGAGAAATACATGGGGATTTCTTTGAATGGAGGCTGCTCAGTTGACAAGAAAATAGGCCCTCTCGGGGTTTGAGCCCAGGACCTATGTCCTCGTGGCATGGTTGGTCTACCATTGGGGCTAAGTAAATGTTTAGCATATTTCAGCATGAGGGCAAACTCAAGGAAGTTTAAAAAAAAAAACTGCTGGAGTGGAAGTGATGTTAGGAAAATGAAGCCAGACCGTCCGCCATATACATCAGTCACAGGAAGACGTTAGCAGAAAGCAGAAGGATAACAGCGTTTCACTTGCATACTGTGCTAATTTTATAGCGGTAATTTCCTCGGATACATACCGCTTAACATGTGTCCTAGCATTACTGGTTTCCTTAAGAAGCCTTGAAGTCTTGGCAAACATTAGTAGGGAGCAAGGTGCCTGTACTAGTTTATTCATATTAATTGCTTTTGTCACAAGCAGTGGTCTCTTATATTATATTCAAGCTAGCATTCACGTTATCAGAACAAAAGTCATATAACTCTGATTAGGTACCTTGTGAGGAAGGCATGTTTTGAGGTAGGACTCCAGGCAAATGCTGACTTCACATTGGCTGCCGAGACAGTGAAAGCTGGTACTCCAGAATTTTTTTAACCCTCCTTGGGCAAACTGGTTTAAGGAATTACGCAAGGAATTAGTCTTCATGCTGCAGTCTGCCAGCCTTCCTTCTTTCTCTGGTGGCAAAGTCACTGTTCTAGAAAGGAGTTGGTTCTGGATTTGTCTCTCAAAGCAGGTCGAGTTTTTTTATCACTTTGGCACATCTCTTTATGAGAAATTCAGTGTAAATTTCTCAGCAGTTTCATGCTAGAAATCAGTGGATGGCCGTTTCCTCTTTTTAGGAGGTCCAGTTTTTAATCGCAAACTTAAACCCGAGTTCCAGCAAAGATTTCAAAGCTTGATTGTTAGCATCAATCATCCTCATTAGCCTGGATAATTAATGGTACACTCAAACCTCGATACAACAAATTCAGATTTAATAAGATATTAGTTATAACGAAGTAACCGAAGAATAGCTTTGTCATAGATAGTGTTATGAATACTCATTTTATAAGAAACTTATTGCATATAACAGAGCATTTTTATGGCAGATGTGACCTTGTTATAATGAGGTTTAAGTGTACTGTGAGGAGTGTTTTTCGCTGGAAATCTATTTTGTGTCATTTTTCTAAGTATCCTTCCTTTTTTTTCTTTCTGTTTGTTTTCTTTCATTACAGCCAGCGAAGGTGACTGCCCACTGGTACAAAGGAACAACCTTCATGATTAAGTTCGAGGAATCTGTCATCGTGCGGGACAAAGCGATGGAGAACCGATGAAAGCCACATTGAGTACCTAGTCCATCCTGCCTCCCCCCCCCCCTCTTTTCGTGTACAGTCATTGTACGGAACTTTGTTCCGTATATTCTTTTTCTTTTTAACTTACTGTTCTATTGGAATTAAAAGAGCAAAAAAAAATTCATACAATAGGATCACTTTTGTCTCATATCACTGACCATCTACAAACCTCTTCATGGTGTTTGTTGTCACCCGCTGCGGTGGTCTAGTGGTCAAGGTGCTCGGCTGCTGACCCGCAGGTGGTGGTATCGAATCCAGACTTATGTTGGAGGCGAAAGTGCTGTAGGCCCGTGTGCTCAGATTTGGGTGCACACTCAGAACCCCATTATGGTCAAAATTTCCGGAGCCCTCTACTACGGGGGTCTCTTATAATCATATGGTGGTTTTAGAAAGTTATAAATCACATATAAATTAATCAGTCACAGTGTGTGTTGTGTATAAATAACAGAGGTCCACAGAGAGGTGGGTGTGACATATTAATTTCATTTTGATTCCTTCTTTTTGGACTTTGTTAATTGTCTGAACAATGCTTTGCCTACCTAATTGCCATCATTTGACCTATCTGGAGCGATAGTTAATGAGAAAGGAATAGAAATGAATGGAAGGAATCACTACATTGTAGTCCTTGAAGACATCAACGGTTTTAAAGCTAACGCATACATTTTGGCTTCTAATGCTCTTTCAGCTTGAAGCTTCTCGTTTGATCACTCAGTGAGTACTAATTATTTCATATAGTATATGGTGAATATTGCAGCGTCGTGCTCTGCGTAGGCCCTCCATTTCAAAAAATTCCTGTACTTCTTTCCTATTACTGGCCAATCCTCCTCAGTATGTTCAATGACTATCTTGCCCATGGGCAACATTGCACGAACCTGAGCTTTACGATTGGTCATTTGACGAAACGGCACCTTGGAACTGCTGTGAAGCAGTTTGGTCGGGCAGTCTGGCATATTCATTTTCCTGTGCTGCCCTCTGCCATTTTATAGAGCCCAAGATTACCGGGACAAGTGGTATTGTCAGAACGAAAGCTTCCTAGATAAAACCTCCAGTACTTTACCGCTTGGGGAGGGTGCTCTTCGCACAGCGCTTCCTCCCCGCACTGCTATACATATCTTGGATTCCAGGCTAGCGCGCCCTTGATGTATTGCAGACCACTTAGTTACATTGATGAAATGGGTGTAGTCGCAACAGAGGTCTATGCCTACCGCTCTTCGCTGTGAAAGAAAGAGTTCAGAGTGAATGCTTGTAGTACATTCACAAACACGGTGGCAAAGTTTGTGCGCTTTGTCAAGCACGTACTTGAAAACTGAATTGTCATATGAGCAAGTGTACTGATCGAACCTGGCAGCACTAATACTCTCATGAACTAACATAACACGCTGCTTGCTTTGAGAGTGTTTGCCCTCCGATCGATTCCGGTGAATGGTTTTGTTCCGTAGCCAGCTGTGCGTGCCATCGAGGGAGTTCAGCTTTTCTGAGCTTGGCATTGAAACAACAATTGTCAGCTGCTGAAGCCTTTCTGGCAGACTACACTAAACCTCCTTATAACAAAATCACACCTGCCACGGAAATACGTCGTTATATCCTGGAAGTTTGTTATAAACGTATATTTGCAGTGTTGTATCTGTGACAGAGCTATTTGTTATTTATGTCGTTATAACCAATAATTCGTTACATCCAACTTCGTTATATTGTGGTTTGAGTGTACTTTGATCTGTGCAGCACATGACATCGCACCTCTTGTGGCAAAATAGTGTTTGCCGGCAGTCTGGTGGTCTTAGAGGTTTATAGCCAGCAACGTCAGGGCTTGTATGAAAGCATGTTTTTACAATCCTATTTTCATATATGTGCAGGCACAATAGACCCTCTACTTCTGAAAACCACAAATTGTTTGGGTTGCAGTGACATAGCTTCTTTCAGACAATTGGGAACCGGTTTTATAACTTCGTACAATGTTAGACTTGGTTTCCATACGGCTGTGCTGACGCATGTTGGCTTTTTGTGACACTTCCATTCAGTGCCTCGGAGGCTACGGCATTGCGCCGATCAGCATCAGGACCAAAGCCACGGTGGCTGCATTTAGCTGCGAGCTAAATGCAGACACCTCTGTGGATGTAAATTTAGGTGCACAATAGGAACTCCTCGTTCGACATGCACATAATCTTGTCGTAGTTTTAGAACAGAGAATAGCCTATTAAGTTTTCATTTCTTGTCGACTACGAGGCATGTCCAGGCAGCTTTGCAAAGGACACTTGGATCATGGACTGAAGAACGGGAATCCTCTCAAAGGTTTGCCACCAGCGATCCAGAAAGGACTGATGAAGCAAGCCATCACTGCTAAGAGCTTCGTTAGCGGCACCAACTTGGCAGGTGATCCCGTGATGGGCTGGCAAGAGTGGAGCATGTTCACAGGTATATTGCCACTCGCCATAGTTTCCTAGCACTATAAAACCTTTAAGCTTGCATGGTAAATTAAAGGAGCAATGACACAAAGGTTTATGCCTTTTTTTTTTGTTGCAATAGGTAGCTTTTTATTCTTTATTAATCGGAATACCCCGCAGCAGCCAAATGGGTTACAGCAGGGAGATTAAATTAATGAATAAAATGCAACTCTGTTACACCCATAATGTAACTTTGTTCGCTCATAAATACATCTCGTTCATATTACAGCATGGGGTTATAACAGCTGAACATTATTCAATAGGTAGCTTATGACCATCTTATCGCGACTTGAAATATTGCTTGCGTGAGTCGGCAATGCTTTTTGATGCTGTTATGATGCTGTTAGAAAGTCCTGTCGCATGTTTGATTTCGAGGAGCATAAAGCTAGGTTGGAGCAGTTCCAATGGCAAAGTAAACGCACCTGGCCACTTGACCACCCCAAATTGTGAAGTATGTTTTGCATGACTTGCACTTGGAGCAAGCACAGCCAGCACACGCAAAGCCGCAGGCACGGAGGAAGAAATCGCAGGTAGCACGAGTTGCGTACCAGCATTCATCCAACGAAAATCCTTGACGTAGGCCCGTATACATTGTCATGGCAATGATGGAGCGAGATGCGGAGTCCCTCACAACGCAATGTCACCCGGCATGCATTTTAAAATTATTTTAAATGTGTTCCAGGCTATGTTAGCTCTTGATACTTTGTAGGTGTTGCGTACGTCTCCACATAAATCAATCTCTCTCATTATCCCACTTTTGAAATTTTTGCCAGTTCTTCTTTAATGAGTTATTTAGCGCTTATAGCCTCCCCTTGCTCAAAAAGCATTCATTTATGCTCTGGCTACTTAGGTTTACCATTACAGCCCCGTCGCAGTGGTCTAGAAGCTAAGGTACTTGGCTGCTGACCCGCAGGTCACGGGATCGAATTCCGGCTGCGACAACTGCATTTCCGATGGAGGCGGAAATGTTGTAGGCCCGTGTGCTCAGATATGGGTGCACATTAAAGAACCCCAGGTGGTCGAAATTTCCGGAGCCCTCCACTACTACATCTTTCATAATCGTATGGTGGTTTTGGGACGTTAAACCCCACATATCTATCAAATCAAGTTTAGCATGACATTAAACCTGTCCGAGATGCACTGGTATAGACTGTCTATAAAGGCTTCAAATTAATGCAATTTTGAGCCAAAGTTCTAGAGATTGAAGTTCAGACAATTACAAGTGTTAAAATAATTTACTGTATATTATAGCAAATATTTGCAATTAGTATAATGTAAGTATTGTGCATTCAGCAAAGTATGCATTTTTCTTCCTGAACTGAATTCAACAATCCACAAAAACAAATTCGATAATTATCATCTGGCAGGGAGCACTTTCGAAAAAGCTAAAAATCTTCGAAATTTTCAAATCTCTGTATCTTTAATATTAGGAGTGTTAGCCAGCACCACTTGTTGTGAAGGAGGTGCGTGTGAAACTTTTTATCTGAGGGTGGCACGTGACCTTTGCGTGAGACTGCTGCTGAACAACAAACCCTCGTGTGGTAGCCTAAGGTATGAACTCGGCTGGGTGAGGCCCTCGCTATAAACAAAAGGAAATTTTTCTGAGGCTCATCTCTTTGTTCATCATCATCACCATCATCAGCCTGACTACGTCCCCTGCAGGACAAAGGCCTCTCCCATGTTCTGCCAGTCAGCTCGGTCCTGTGCTTGCTGCTGCCAATTTATACCCGCAAACTTCTTAATCTCATCTGCCCACCTAACCTTCTGTCTCCCCCTAACCCGCTTGCCTTCTCTGGGAATCCAGTTAGTTACCCCTAATGACCAGAGGTTATCCTGTCTACGCGCTACATGCCCGGCCCATGTCTATTTCTTCTTCTTGATTTCAACTATGATATCCTTAACCCCAGTTTGTTCCCTAATCCACTCTGCTCTCTTCCTGTCTCTTAAGGTTACACCTACCATTTTCCTTTCCATTGACCGCTGCATCGTCCTCAATTTAAGCTGAGCTGTCTTTGTAAGTCTCCAGGTTTCTGCTCCGTAGCTAAGTACCAGCAAGATACAGCTGTTATATACCTTCCTCTTGAGGGATAGTGGCAATCTACCTGTCATTATTTGAGAGTCCTTGCCAAATGTGCTCCACCCCATTCTTATTCTTCTAGTTACTTCAATCTCGTGGTTCGGCTCCGCGGTTATTACCTGCCCTAAGTAGTCTTTTACAACTTGAAGTGCACTATTAGCTATCTTGAAGCGCTGCTCTCTTCCGAGGTTGTTGGACATTACTTTCGTTTTCTGCAGATTAATTTTAAGACCCACCTTCCTGCTCTCCTTGTCTAACTCCGTAATCGTGAGTTGCAATTCGTCCCCTGAGTTACTCAGTAATGCAATGTCATCGGCGAAGCATAGGTTACTAAGGTGCTCTTCATTAACTCTTATCCCTAACTGTTCCCATTCTAGGCTTCTGAAAACTTCCTGTAAGCACGCGATAAATAACAGTGGGGAGATTCTATCCCTCTGCCTTACACTCTTCTTGATTGGTATTCTATTGCTTTCTTTATGAAGCACTATGGTAGCAGTTTATCCCCTGTATATTTCTTCCAGGATGTTTATTTATACTTCATCGACGCCCTGATTCCGCAGTGTCTGCATTACTGCTGATATTTCTACTGAATCAAACGCCTTCTCGTAATCT